AGCCCAGTTTTTCCCTTGGGTTGCCCAGAGTTTTCCATTCCATTCCAGGGAAAAAGGGAGACGACATCAAATCATTAGCAGTGCATAAAGCGTGAAACCAGACACAGACATGCAGATGAATTTAAACTATTAGCAGTGGCAGGAGTAAAGAATACAGGCAACACTGTCTCTCTCTTCTCCGCATCCGCATCCGCGCAGTGCTCCAAGGTGCATCCATCGTTAGGCAGCTGGTTTCGGATGAGGATACGGATGAGGATTCAGATTCGGTTGGGTTTCTTCATTCAACTTAACCCTGCACAGGGGAAAACGTAATGGAAGTTATGGGAAATTACCTTTGAAGAACCTTGAGAAATAGATCTTTAAGAAATATTTAATATTCTCTGGGAAAAATATTATTACAAGGTTTAAATAAATATATTAATAGTAAATAATAAATATATGTTAGGAATGTAAGTTGTTTCAATTGATGCAATATATAGTATGTAATATACATTATTTAGATACTCTTAAAGTATCTTTTAAGACTTTAGGTATTGTAGGTATAATATTCTTTTTGATTCCCTCTTAAAATATACAAAAAATCATTAAAACCCCTTACCCCTTACCAACAAAATTGCTTAATTATCAACATTTTCCCTTAGTGTATTACATATCCCCCATGACCCGCTCTTTCTGATGCCACCCCCCCCGAGTGTTGCCTTGGCAATGCTCATCGTAGTCATCATTCGTCCCCATTCTGGTCCTGGCTCTAGTCCTATTTCAGGTCCTGGTTCTGGTTGACATAAACCTGCACATTGTTATAAACCCAATCTTTGCCGCTTCCTCCCTTGGCCTTTGGTTCTTCTGTGTGTCGTGTGAATATAAAAGATGCAAATGTAAAGATATTTTTTCCATTTTGCATTTTGCATTTTCCATTTTGCATTTTGCATTTTCATTTTTAGGCTTGCAGGATTCAGGACTGTGCAGAGTTGAGTTGCGGTGAGTGCAACGTTCTGGGGACCAAAAATTGTCGCACGGTTCCATCCATTGTCTGCATTTGTATCTGTATCTGAGTCTGTGCAATATAAATAACTCGGCACGGCTTGTGTGCATATTTTGTATAGCTACACAACTTAAAATAAATACAAAATGTTAGTTAGTTGTTAGTGTTGGCCACCATCATTTGACCAACGGAAACACACACAAACACACACACACACACACACAGAAAAATACAAAATATTTGCACAGTTTTGTGTTTGCATTTCGTTGGGCATTTTGTATTTATTCTTTGCGAAACAAATCGAGCTCAAATGCCCATATATATAAACGATGAACTCGTAGTCATATATATATCTTTGATCTCCTCACTTATCCATCTTGCTTCCATTTAGTATTCAGCATTTTGTGGCTTCTCTTTTTAAACAATCAATTCAATTGTTGGCCCAATAAATGGTTCCACAAAATTGTTAATCACTTGGAAGTAGGTGTAAGTGGGTTTTTTTGGGAAAATGTAATCATTAAATAGAAATATTAAATAGATTTTTGGGATAGTAAACTTGAAAAAGATGTTGTAGAAGGTAAAAAGATAGGCAGGTATAAATTATCATAAGTGTGTAATTACTTTTATAAGCTTTTCGGGTAGAAGTCATCAAGATAAATTAAAATAAAAGAAGTGGTGAAAAAGATGCTCTAATAAAGTGACATCTGACGGAAATTACCAAAACTTACCACTGAGAAGAATCATAAAAAAAGGCAGTCTATCTTTACGCTAAAATTTATATTAAATATTGCTAGTATTAGGGCGTTACTTACCAGACATTGTCATAGTGTTTATTTAATCTAAATATTGATAGTAAGACTTTCAAAGTTTCATATGCATTTCTCTTTATTTATTTTTCTTTTTTTTGTATTCTCTCATTTTTTTTGGGGGGTTTTTTGTCACGTTTGCGCGGGTTTTTCTTTGTTTCTCTTTTTTTTCATTTGAATATTCAGTTGTATAATAAACAGATTTTACAGTACAAACATATGCTTTGTTCGCTCATTTCTTATGTACATAAACACAAATTTCAACTAAATGCTATTATCTTGATGTTCAAACATGTTGTATATTTTTTTGTTTGGTTTTTCGAGGGGGGTTTTACATCTTGAAATTGTTGGATATTCTCATGTTGTAGGTTTGTTGTATTATGCATATGTAGTTGTCAAATATTTGTATCTTTTGTTTATTTGGTTTATCTTTGTATGGCGGTAGCGTAGACATTGAATGCATTTACGATTTGAATGGGAGATTCTGTACTTAGAGTTCCTTAGTATTTTCACTATAGTTTAGTCTGTTATTTTAGCCTGTGTGTGTGTCTTTTGAACAACTTTTGGATTTCCATCTAGATATATATATATATATATATATATATATATATATATATATACATATATATATATATGGGTATATATATGCTTTTGGTTTACTTACATGTCTAGATTAAACGTAACTTTGATTTGCCAGGCATTCGCCACCACGAAAAAAAAAGTATTCCCTATAATTAACTTTATCCTTTACTTGTATCTTTCATTATATATTTAAAATGTACTTTTCCTCGACCATTTATTCCTTTCTCCGGTACGTATATGAGTCAGAGTACATCTGAGTAGTCAGCTTTTGAAAATGTATTCCCTTTACCTTTTAATATTTTATTTTGTTTGTATTTCTTATGTTGGTTTGTTCACACTGGGGAGCGGCTTTTGGATATGTGGATAATACATATAGATATATGCAAGGATATTACTGATATGAACACTCAAACACATCCATACACACATGCACACACACATCTTTTTCCGGTTTTTAACTCTGTTTATTTTCGCCTTTTAATGCTTTGTTTTTTTTTGGCACACTTATTTCTGTTTTCTGCGTTTTACAAAACATGTATAGTTTTATTTTAAATGTGGAATTGAGCTGAACAACATGCATACCTTTTTGGGGCAACACACTTATATCATATACATATATCATATACAATGGGTGATTTCCTCAAAGGGTATGTGTGGCAGGATTGTGTGTCCCTAAAGCAGTGTAAAAATATCCAGGAAAAGAAAAAATTGAAGCCACAGTTAGCCATAGGTAAATGGATTTAAATACACATCGATCATAACAAAACCATGTTCTATTCCTTTTTGATAAAGATTTTGATTGCAAATCGAAATATAAATGACTTCTGGGAATCTTTGCTTTTTGGTATTTACATATATACCTACAAAAAAAACCTAAAATGTGTGTGGTACATTAAATCGATATTTTTATATGGTATTTTTTTTTTTTTGGGTAATTTAAAATTTTTTAAATATCATAACTTAGCCAAAAATGCATCAATTTCAATTCTGATATCATTTCTGTGTTAGTTTTTAAAGGATTAAAAAAACTGTATACTTAGTTTTAAAATTAAAAAAATTTAATTTTTTTTTGTCAAATTTTGAAAATTTTAATGATGTTACCCCTTACAAAAATTTGAAAAAATTAAAAAGAAAAATTTGTTCTCTATAAGATGGCTAGATCGACTCAGATTTTAATGCTGATCAAGAATATATATGATTTGTATGGTCGGAAATGTCTTCTTCACTGCGTTTTGAGCTTCTGAATGAAACTATAAAACGCTGCAAATGGCATAAAAAATTTTAAAAATAATGCCAATTTTCTGGGATTGACTGAAAAATATAAGTGATATATGGCCAAGATGTATGAAGGAATTATCTTTTCATGAATATCTTTAAAAATTTAAAAAGTTATGGAACATTTCAAGTAAAGAGAATAATATATTTCTGCTTTGATTTGAAGAACGTAAACTATTCGAAAAATAACCGAATGAAAACTATGTCGGCCAATAATTTCTTATCTATAAAAGTAATAACAATTAATTGAAGAATCCACTTTTTTTAACCCACACACACACCCTCTCGTATAAGCGGAAGAATCTCTTTTTGTTGATTCTCGATTTGGCTTAAATCTAGGGTCCGCATTTAGTCTTTTGAGCCATGGAGCGAAGGAGACAACAAAGGGGTCCAAAAATAGAACCATTTACCATTTAATGAACAACAAAACTCTCTCCAGATCACCCAGGGTGTAAATATTTACAGTTAACGGTTAGCAAAGATCATCTAAACATTTTCTCTATCTCATTATAGGTATCAATAATCATTTATCAATTATTATTTATCTTTATTTTAGCCACAAATTCCTTTCTCTTTGAGCAGGCCTTACATATTATATACAGAACTCTGGATTAAACACCTAATTTATATATATATATATATATATAGTTTATGTGTATTTCTTCTAGAAACAAACTCAACAATTAATGCGTAAACTAAACTCTAATCAATGGGAAATAAAAATAAACCTGACTTAGCCATAGGACAATTAGAAATATACATATTTCTTTATATATGTATATATATTGATCAATATCGGTATCATTATAATTATCGTATTTTTGTTTTTAGTACGCATATATGCATGGGTTGTATATATTTCCGGTTTATATTTATATATATATATATATATATATTTGTATATCTTTTTGTAGTCATACTTTGTTTACTTTTTGAGTAGCTAAAGCCATTCAAAGAACCGAACACCATTTACTATATGGTTTTTGCTGGGGGATTTTTCTTTTCTTTTCTGATTTCTGTTTTACTTTTTCATTTTCCACTAACGAGGTAACATTTAAACGCATTTTTTTCCACTTAAGTACGACACTTTAGTTTATCCGCTCCCTCTGCTTGTTCTTCTTTTGATTTAATATGCATTCAATTAGCCCAGAGAGTCGCCCCCACTTTACGTTTGCTTATCCTTTGGCAATTAGCCCCGGTAAAAGATGATTAGCTGATGGAGAAGGGGGCGGAAATCATCATCATCATCCCCCATTGATTAATGCTCTCCCTTTCCGGAACACTCACCAACACACACACACACACACACACACACACAAAAACACACACACAAACACACTTACACACAGACAGACACACGCACAACAAAGGATGGCTAAGCCTTTGCATCATAATCGTGCTTGTTTAATTACAATTGAATTAAGCTATAATAATAGTAATGATAATAATAATAATCTTACTTAGCTGCGGCTCCTCGCTCCCACAGCTTTCGTCGCCAATTGCTCCTATTATTATTATTATTATTAAACCCCGCTGATCTTTCCCAGAGTTCAGGCTTCATATCGAAGCTCATCGTTGCCTTGACTCCTCCAACTCCATCTCCTGCTCCTGCTCCTGCTCCTTGATGCATCATCATCCATTGTCTATCCCGGTGGGCAACGTTGGCCTTTGTATGGCCAGGGGCCATTGTTGGTGTCGCCGTCGCTATCGTCGTTAATAACACCAACAGAAAGGCTAATAGAAACGTTCCGATTAGCCGCATTGTCCCACGACCGCTTTGGACAGACGCTGCTGCTCCACCGCCGGTGGCTCCACGCTCCTGCTCCGGATTCCTGTCCTTGTAGAGCCTTCCATTCTGGTTGCGTGACCCGTCCTCGTGGCGTGTCTCCTTCAGCACCACCTCGTTTTTCTGTCGCCACGGAATTTAAAAGAGATAGTGTGTGTATATAGGGTATAGGGGTATTTATATATATAGACATGACATTTATGGTATTATTTAACAAATATGGGATATATATTTTCATATGTTAAGGGATCTATTTGTGGGGTTCCTTTACTCACCGACACATCGTTGTTATCGTCATCGCGATTGTTCTTCTTGCCAGGTCTCTCCATTTCTGGGAATTGGTAGAAAATGGGAATCCCATGGGGTTTAATATATGGTTTATGTCATTTTAAAACAAGAAAGGAAGCTAACTTTGGCACGCCGAAGTTTATATACCCTTGCAGATAGAACTTCTATGAATAGGAATACATACAATATAAATTATATATATTTGTGTTAAAAAACAATGAAGTAATACCTGCTTTCATTTCATTCACCTATACATATTATATTTACAGTTTTACATTCACAGATTTGCATTTTTCCTCTACATCAAACGATCGTTTGTATGGCACCTATATGATATAGTCGTCCGTTTTTCATGAAATTTGACACAAAATTTCAGACTAATATGAAATTGCTATACCTCAAGTTTGATGAAAATCAGCTGAAAACTGAAAAAGTTATAAATTTAATTGTATTAATTATATGTATATATATGATATAGAAGTCCGATTTTCATAAAATTGTATGCAAAATTGAAGAGTATAGTAAAATGGCTATATCTCAAATTTGATCCAATTCTATTGAAAACTGAAAAAGTTAAAATTTTTTTTTTTTTAATTTTCCGATCATTCCTATGGCAGCTATATAGTCGTCCGATTCGGCCCGTTCCGGATATATACGAGTGAGAGTATATAGAAGGCTAACTACAAAGTTTCATTCAGATAGCTTCAAAACTCAGAGACTAGTTTGCGTAGAAACGGACAGACGGACAGACGGACATGGCTAGATCGACTCGGCTGTTGATCCTGATCAAGAATATATATACTTTATATAGTCGGAGGTGCCGCCTTCACTGCGTTGCAAACTTCTGACTGAAATTATAATACCTGCAAGGGTATAAATATCGTAAACTCAAATTACATTATCTAAAGTATTAGTATATATTAATATAAAAGAGTCTAGAGTCTCCAGTTTCGATTTAAGTGAACTTAATCATCCAAATTATAAATTATTGTTATATATAATTACCATATAATCGAATGGTGCCCTCGGTGTCCCCGATGCTGTTCTTTGAGATGCATTTGTAGCCACCAAAGTCGCTCGATTGAAGCCGCTTGATGTGCAGCACCATCTCAATGGCGTACATGTTGTTCTCCTTCTCGGTGAGTCCGTAACGATCGCCGGCAATAATCATTTCGCCTGTTCAAGACCGGGAAAAGGAAGGGAAATCGAAATGAGCGACGCTAAAAATGGGAAATGTGCCATTTGCTGATGTGGTGAGATGAGGCTGGGTTGAGTTGTGTTTAGTGGAGAGGAGAAAGGACCAAGGACTAAGGACAGGGGAGTGGTGTGTGGTCTCGAGGTGTGAATGAAGTCATGAATACGAAGCAGGGAGACAGGCCAAATGAGCTTGGGTTACGTGAGGTGAAAGGCGGAGAAGGGCGGCGTAGGAGGAGGAGCAGGATGAGAATCCTGCCTCCGGGGTTTCGGTGTGGTCGGAAGGCCATCGATGATGACATTTCTGGCATTGCCGCTGCCAAGCGTTCCACGCTTACGCTGTGGCTCCTGTCACGTTTGCAATATACGTCAAATGCACTTGACAAAAGAGTTTCCCAGCTTCCAGGTTCCAGCTTCAGTGCGGTCTCTCTTCTCCTCTCCCTTTTTTGGTTTTCCACGCTTTTACTAGCCATGGTTTTTTTTTGTTTGTAAACCCCGCTTGCGCCTTTCCGCCTTTCAGCCCGTGTCGGTAAGGGGGGACAACAAAAATATTTGAGCTTCGAACACGAACCAAATAAAGACAAATTGCGGCATTGAAAGGTTTATAAAGTTTCAACGAGTCCGAGTTCCAACTCGAGCCAGATGCTAAATGAAAATTCAATTCGTGGCCACTCCCCCGCTTTTGGGTTATTCCGAAAATGCACAGAGAAAAACTAGAGTGAATGTCTAACAATAAAAAGCAGTTTTACCAAGTCTTTAAAATATAAAGTGTAGTTTTAATAAATTCTAGCAAAATAAAATATAATTCACAATAAAATAATTATTCTACATTATTTTCTTCATTCCATTGAATTTTATCTACTCTAAAAATTTGAAATGTCTACAATTGTGCATTAAAGACATTATTAAATTAAAAATAGGAACCTTTCTCTGTGCAGTTTTCGTCGTTTCCCAGCTCTTGCGGACTTACCATTGATTCTTAATCAACCAAATATTCAATAAAAAATTATTCAATCATTTATAAAATTTAAAAATGATAATTCATCAAATCGATTCTTACAAAATTTGGTTACTTTTCGCTTTGTGCCTTTTCCGGTTAAGAATATCCGACTAACTATAATGTAAATATTGAATTGGAAAATAAAAATATCAAAATGTATATACTTTTTAAGCTTATTAATCAGCGGAACTCCACAAATCTCTGGTGATGTAAAGTCCCATAAAAGGTCGCCAATAAGTATGCAATTCTTTTCATTTTATTTCATCAATAGGATAACAAGAAATTTTGCAGTTTGGTTTATTTGGTCCAAAAAATAAAAAGAAGAATTTCACGAGGACATACTTTAAGACACTTTTTCAAGGGACTTGCAATCATTAGAGATTTATGTGACTCCACTGAAAAGTTACTTTTTTAAGGGGTAACACTACTGTAAAAGCTTTGAAAAAAATCTGGCGTTTCATTAAAGAAATATTTAAAATTTATGTATTTACAAAAGACAAAGGGACTGGTGGTGTGCAATGTGAAAATAGATGCTTTGTTCATATGTTTGTAAAATAATTGCTTTAAGGATGCAAAATATTCTTAAGATATATCAAGCAAATAATAAAAACTATATTGACTAAAAATTAAAAGTGAAAATCAAAGAATTAGAGCAGGAAAATATTTAATTTTTATAGCTCTATGGAAATTAATAACTAATCAGATATAAAAACTTATCGATCACTTGGTGCATTGCAAAAGAAAATGTTTGCTAGAACTTAATATCAAAACGAATTAAATTTATACTTATTGATAAATTTGATAAATTAAAAATGTCGTAAAAAGCTAATCGGATGCAGTTTCTAGTGGCATGTGCTCTTTTGGGGATTATTGCTTTTGGTTACGAGGACATAGTTGTGGTATTATTTCTCTTAGACTCCACAGTGGTGTTGCCCCTTAAATAAAAATACATCGAATCCAGCATTACGAAAGTGTAGAACATTTTTAGTTTAACTGATAAACCAAACAATCGATAATCGATAGTTGATAATTGATAATTTTGTGATGAAGATCAAGATATGCTTTAGTTAATTTGGTTTTTTATATTTCTTTCGAAGCAAATGAAAAGTTTTGGCCAATTGCAAGCTAAGTACAAATAATAAAAGTCAATAAAAAAAATGTTCTCAGTGTGGCTTTATAGTTCTTTTTTTTCGCTTTTTTATTTTCACTTCTGTGATGTGTTTTTTTTATTGTTAGCGACTTACCATTCTCGCGCTGCCAGTAATTGATGGCCTTCGGCGATGCTTCGACATTGCAAATTAATGTGACATCCGTGAGGACCGGGGCGCCGACCAATTGATTTGGCACTTGGACCAGCGGATGAACTGTAAGGATTAAGAGAGAGCAGAGCAGAGAGAGTGGGGTAAAATTGTTAAGCCATCAGTGACCTTGTGTAAGCCAGAAGCACCCCCCAACCCCACCAACACCACCAGCACCACCCGCCGCGGACTAGACTGGCAATTAAGCTGCGATGCCACAAGGGACCAAAGTCAAACTTCAAACCCTTTTATTCCGTTGCTGGATTCCGGTTTTTGGGGATTCGGGATTCCAGCTGTGATTCCTTTTTTTTTTGGCTTTTTCTTTACTCTTTTGCTTAATGGCAGCAACAACAACTGATACGATTTTAATTGAAAATGAATTATTTTGTTGTTAGAGTGAGCAGCAGGAGCAGGAGGAGGAGTAAGAGCAGGAGCAACTACTGGCCAGCAATCAGGGACCCCAGTGGTCAGTCGGTGGCAAATAAAACGAGCATGCAATCTCCAACGTTTTTCTGATTTTTTTTGCCTAGATTTTTCCACAATTTTCCCCACACCATTTTCCATTCCCGGAGGGAACTGGGAATTGGCTTGCTTGGCCAAAAGGAATGATGATGATCCCCGAACGGTTTAATGATTCCTCCATTCAAATCGATGGACGCCGAGGAAGCAGCTCGTTAGGGACCTGTGCCTTTGATCTAGTTATTTATATGAATATATGTTTATTTATATTATAAAAAAGATTTAAATACTCTTTATAGTAACAATAATGTAGGATATCGGAGAGTACCATTTATATTTTTTAAATATTTTCTAAACTAACTTTACTTCAGAATTTTAGCTTGAAAAAATAGCTCACTGCTTGGAAATCCTTAAAAAAGTAGATGAATTTGCTTAGCAATTTTTATAATAATATTTTGAGTACACATTATAAACATTTATTCTGCTTAAAAGAGCATTTCTGCTTCGTCCAGAATTTTCCTAATAATTCATTGCCTTTGCTTGTGCCTTGTGGAAATTTTTCATGTTGTTCGTGTCGTGTTGAGATTTTTTCATTGGTTTTTCTTGGCTTTTACTGTTTTTTGCTTCAATTTTTCCACTTTTTTGTTTTGTTTGTAAGTTTCCTTTTTGGTTTTTTGTGTGTGTGTGTGCATTTTTCGCCCTTGTCTTTGACGTTGTCTTGAGGCCGCCCCGGGGAGCGATGTTGGATAACCGAAGGACCAAAGGACCGCAGGCCATAGCCACTGACCATCATTGTTTTTTGGCTTTTCAACTTTGCTTTCCCATCTGGTAGATGGAAAGCTACCAAAAACCCTACCCCCGCCACCTTTTGCACCCTTTTCCGCCTGGAGCTGCATTCAAGCGTTCATTATTGGTCAATTTATTGGATTTGTGCATGCCGCACTCGACTCCCATGGTTGTGTCCTGCTGTCCGGACCTCTCGGCAGGGATATATCCTGGCTCCTGCCCAGTGCAGCATATGTCATGTGTTGTCCGCCAAAAAGTCCCCCAACTATCAGCCGCCATTCCTCCTCCTCTTTTTATATCGAAAATTCAATTTGTCCTAATAGAGTTTTGGCAGCAGGCAGCAGCTGTTCCGCACACACTGCCTGATCTTTAAAAGCCCCGAAAGTTGTCAGTACCTAATAAGTGGATTTAACATTTTACAGTTTAGTTAAAACAGACAATAAGGAGAGCTTTCCATATAAATTATAGATCTAATTATTGCATTGAACTTAGGGTTAAAGAAGATTTTTATAGCCTTCCTGAAGACGTTTTTGTATTAAATACTTTGACATAGTTTCTCATGTTTTCTATGCCTCTAAACCAGTCAGAGTAATTAAGAAAAGATGGATTAATCTATCTTTAAACTCTACCACTTTTAAATTCTATTTAATGTGCCAAATTGATTTTTATTTTGATTGCATTCAAAGTACTATTTCCCCATTCCATGAGCAAATTGACGAGTTTAACCCGAACCCTCTTCGGTGGTGGTGCTGTCGGTATCGGTAGGCTCGGTGGTGACATCGCTGCTGTTCTCCGAAGAGGAGCTCACGGAGGAATCCGTGGTGGTGCTGGAGCCGGAGCTGCTGTCGGTGGTGGTGCTGGCAGCGGCACCGCTCTCGGTGGTGGACCAGCATGGTCTTGGGCCATGTGGACGACGTGGTGGTCCATCGAAACGGCCAGGTCTTCCCCAACCGCCGCGTCCGCCGCCAAAGAAGCCACCAGGTGGTCCAGGTGGTCCTCGGTTAAATCCTCTGCCGCCGCCACCGCGTCTGCCACCGAAACCAAGGCTACGTCCACCGCCGCCACCGCCACCGCCTCGTCCTCCACGACCACCGCGACCACGTCCTCCGCCGCCTTGGGCCAAAGCCACCGCCACCAGGGCCAGGAGTAAAATTGCAATGTAGGCACGCATTCTCGGTGTATTAGCTCCAGTCGCAACTGATTTTGATTGCCAAAATGTGGCCACTTTTATACCCAAAATGAAGCCCATCAAATCCCAAAAAAAGAATTCCCTTGTGACGTAAGACTTTCATATTTGATTAGCTGGAGAATGGAGGAAGAATGGAAACGTGAGTCTCCCTGAAATTCTAGCGATTCTTCGCCTGACTTCTTGTGGCAACAGCTGGTCTGTGTTGACAACCTGCTGGCCATTGTTTTCTATATTCTAATTCTATTTTCTCGACTTGGATGGGTTTTTGTGGCCCACACGTACGGACGGAAGAAAGTTGATCTGGGGCTGGGGGGGGAAGATTTAAGACATTTACGCAGATTCCGTATATGATTAATCCGGCGGATGGCAAACAAAAGGTGCCTTTATTTGTGATAAACAAAAAAAAAAGTGTGAAAACTTTACTGAAATTTGCATAGAAATGTTTGCTTAACTTATTTGTTTCTCATTTTATTGTTATTAAATTTTATAAAAAATAGAAAGAATGTTTAAAAGTAATTTATTTATGTAAATAAAATATGGAAAGAGGAAAATTAAAGAGCTTTAGCTTGAATAGTAAAAGATAAAATAGAATTAAATATTAAAGTTAATTAAATTAGTATATTTACATGCAAATTTAATATACTAATAATAATATACCATTTGCAGGGTATTATAATTTTAGTTAGAAGCCTAAAACTTAGTGAAGGAGTCATTTCCAACCCTATAAATTATATATATTATTGATCAGCATCAACAGCTGAATCCATCTAGCTATGCCCGTTAAATTGTACAAAATTTGAATTTTTGTATATTTCAAACTGAGTATGCAGATTTATTAACCTATCAAAAAGTAACATAGAACAGTTTTCCGAATTGAAATTAATGCATTTTTGCCTCAGCTATGAATTTTTGAAGCTTTGAAACCCATTACAAAAAAAAAATTACGTATACGTAATATTGCTCCAACCAACATAGAATATCACGTATACGTACCATTGTCCTCCAGGCCCCGAAAAATCGTTGTTTTTAATAGTTTTACTTTCAGTGGCTTATTTGTAACTGGAATATAGATTCATTTATCATTTTTATACCATTTAAGGAGATTATACTTTCAGTAATTAATTTATCATTTTTACACCCTTAAAGACAACTATAGTTTCAGTCAGAGGCTTTAAAATCAGTGAAGGAATCATTTCCGACCCTATAAATCATATATATTCTTGATCAGGGTCAACTCGCAAATCTTTTTAGCTATGTCCGGGAAAAATTAAAAATTTTCGAAATTTTCAATATTTTATAAGGGGTTACATCGTTAAAATTGACCAAAATTTGAAATTTTTTGACATTTTAAACTGGGAATGCAGATTTATTACCCTATTAAAAACTAGCACAGGAAAGCTTTCCGAAGTGAAATTAAGTCATTATTGGTTGAGTTATGATATTTCTAAAATATACAAATTTTAGGATTTGTATATACCAATATTGTTGTTGATATATTTGGATCATAGCCAGACTTTTACATTCTATATATATATATATATATATATGTATATATGTCCCAACTGTAAGCCAATAAATATGTCTGCAAAGCCTAGGCCAAAACACGACTGATATCTTTAAGGATTTGGCACTTAACGTAAATACCCGTCTAACAGGCAAGAAGCCACTTAATTTTCTGATTAGAATCAATCAAGAGGGAAAGTGAAAAGCGTGGCGAAAGCAGGGATTTTTTTTCCGCTGTTCGCATATATGGATTTTTCTGCCAGAAATGGATATGAAACGACAAAGGACACAGCTGTAAAAAAAGGTAAAGGAAGGGGAGAAAGCGACAGGGAAAACGAAAAGAAAAGCGAATTTGTGGCATAGATAAAATAAAATAAAAATGGAAATTAATTTTTGCGGCACACACATACGCACACATGGAAACACACGGCGAATCAACAGGATGTGCAAAGTGTGTCTGTGTGCCACATTTTCATGACCGTGTCAATATAATTTCCAGATAAGATCTCTCTTCTAGCTCTTTCAGTTTTTCCAGCTTTCCCTTCTCACTTTTCCGCCCCTAGTTCGTGCTTTTGCTCCCCCCTTTATTTTTTGCAGCACTTCGCTTCTCGCCAAATTGTCGTCGTTTGAACTTTTGCCCCTTTTGGAAAATTTCATTAACTTTGATGCGGGAAGGTAAACCATTGGCGGGGCTGTAAAAAGAGGGGGCAAAAATCTAACAATTACCCCACACATCCTCGTGTGTGTGTTGTGTGTGGGTGTGTGTGTGTGGGACACCTCTTGCCTTAAAGTTTTACTGCAAGAACGTGACGTTGCGTTGCCCTTTTCAGTTTGGAAAAACTCAGAGGGCGGGCGGAAAAGCGGGCGGAGAAAAAGCGGAAAAACCATCCCTAATGCATTTGGAAAGTTTGTGCCAGTGCTGGCCACGTGAAGGAAGCTGCCGGATATCGAAACGGAAGCACTTGCACTGCGTTATTGCTGCGGTTCTGTTCCTGTTCCTGTTTCCGCAAAAAAAGAAAAACTCCCAACTCCTGTTCCCTGCACGCACATCACATCACATCCGAGCCGGGCTATAAGTTACCATTATGATTATTATGCTGCATTAGCCGCCATCGCCTCCACCCAAAACTGCCATAAATCAGGCCATTTTCTTGGCCAACAGAAGCAGCCAAAGCAGCAGCAGCAGCAGCAGGTGGCGTCTCCCATTTATCATAGCATATATGTTCGTATGTAGTATATGTATAGGTTCGATGGGTACTCACAGTGCACCTGTAGCTTCATCCGCTTGCTCACCGTCGGCGGTACTCCATTAGAGGCGATGCACAGGTAGGCGCCCATTTCCGATCGCGTGACCTTTGACAGCACCAGCATTTCGCCCTCGACATACAGGGCTGGAAATTAAAGGGGAATCGGGTTTATATATACCATATATATATATATATATTTATATATATGACAGACAGGATGCGGCTGGTAAGTCAGCTCAAAGGGAAAGAAAATATGACTTGTGACTAGAATACCCTGTAAGTCTGCCTGGGTATATGAGAACTACGAACTACTCCTTCTTACCCTTGGTCTTCTGATGATTCCCATTCCGGGCAATGATCTCCCTTCCATCTTCGCGTCGCCACGTAATCTTGGGCTTGGGATGACCACGAGCACGACAGACCAGTTTGGCAGAGCCACCTTCCGGGACCATCATGTCGCCGGAAGTCTCCTCGTTGATAATATCCGGTGGTATAACCACCTCTAAGGTGGCTGTCTGTACGAGAGAGAGAAAGGAAATGATATAAATAATTAATAATTAAATCAATACTATACATAATTGTAATACATTTTAATAGCTGTGAAGAGCTACTCTCAGCGAGTAATTGTTGTCTCATTAAAAAGAGCCCTTCGATTGCAACACACATGCCCCCATATCCTGGCCCCCCTCCAGCCCCCTTTTTATATATATTCTTAGTGACCTTTTTTTGTTCCTTTGGCTTTTTTTTAAACATTTGTTTCATTCTGCGGTTGTTGCCTGCTGCTACCAGCAACAATAACCGAATTGCTGCTATCATTGTCGTTGTCGTTGTCATTGTCATTGTTTCCACTGCAGTTGACAGTTGTGTCATAAAATAAAGTTGACGTCACAGGGAAAAGAGAAAGGGGGGGAAAGAAAAAAATCCCCAAAAAAAGGGGGAAAAGGGGAGTAGGAAAAGGAGGCGAAGGAAAAACCCCCAAACGAACCAAGCGCGAAATTTATACGACTGAAAGAGAGATTGAGAGAGGGGGAAGAGGCAACTGAAAAAAAGGCTTGAAAGCCGGGAAAGCCGGGAAAGCTGGAGAAATGTCAAGCCTGTTTGCTTTTTATTTGTCTCATATTTGCTTTTCACTCAATTCGCTTTGTTAGGTTGATTTTATTACAAGATGGGTGGGGTGGACGTAACGCCCCCCATAGTCCTCACGTTCATGCAGCATAAATGAAATGGAATTGAAAACGCAATCGCTTTGCCACATGTCGGGGAAAAGCGGGCCAAAGGGAAATGGGAAAAGCGCACGGGCGCTGGATACAAAAACAACAAAAAAAAGAACTCAATTCAACTCTACGCGGCGCTCGACTCGACTCGAGTAACAGCAAACGTCACATGAGACGCCTACGAGAGCATAGGAAAATTCCAGAGCACTGTGCCCCGGAAAATACACACACACACACACCCCGCACACTCTCTCCCACACTACCCGTTGCCACATAAGCGTCCTTTGATGACGTCAACATTGCAACGGCGCACAGTGTTTGTTATTTATTTTTGTCATTAAAGCGCTTCATTGTTTATATATCGTGTTTAAATGTCGCCACCCTCCCCTCAGTTGCCCAAGAAAAATAAAAAACAGAACCAGAGGACTATACGCCAGGACATGCACAAAGGACGAACAAATAGCAGAGGCCCAAGGAGGGAGCACCAACATTCCCGGAATAATTTCATTATGCCCATACCCTCCTTGAAACGTCGGCTTTGCAATGCTTTTCGGAAAAGCGAACTGAAAGTCGATAACTTTGATGCTTTGTTAGCTTCTAGAAATTATGATGCGCACTGTGGGTGCTTTTGCGTTATTTCCCTATCGTAATTAATATTAGCTCACAATACACAATATGTTGTGATAATAGGTTAAGATAATTTTTCAAAGGTAACTGGTTTTTGGGCAGCATTGATAGTAACTTTAAGCAGTGTTAAACTAGCACCTTTTTCAAGGCTTTCCCAACACTTAACTAGGACCTTATTTTTTTGTGACGATATATCGCTTTTACAACACTGAAGCTTTAATGTCACAGCGGAGCTCACTTCACTTCATAGAAAAAACACAGCGAGAAGGAAAAATAGGAAAGACTTGAAACGTTCTACAACTGGTCAATCGGTAAATATATCTCTTTTCTATATCTTCTCTTAGTCCTAGGATGTTCGCAAAAGCAACTGATATAAAATAATAGATAAAATCAAATTGTTAGGTTTTTTCACACACACACACACACACGTGCACATAAATTCTTTCTTGTTACATTTTCTTCTCTGATTTCAATAGTTCCTGCTCTTTAGCTATATACATATATAAATATTTTCGATTCAGACACGCCCATACACCCTCCCACCCATAACGCATTAAAATCGTCGGCACTCACCTGCATTTTCATGGGATCCGTATTGACCTGACACATGTATTTGCCGGAATCCTCCATTTTGACGCTGCGAATGTTGAGTGTCCATGTGTTGTAGTCGTTGTGCTGCACCGTTAATCGATCATTGTTGGTTATCACGTGCTCGTGTATGGCCAGGATTGCCTTGGCATCGGCCTTAATCCAGGCGACCTGATGGTGGTTCGGATGCGGAGCGGTATGCAGGCGGGATTCGACGAGAGGTGGACAATGGTTGTGGGGATGTGAATGTGGAAATGGAAATGGAGTGGGGATAAAGGGATGACCATTTTTGTTGTTGTTGTTGTTGTTGAGTTGATGACAGCACCGTTTTGCAAGTGTGCCATATGCGTATATGTCCGTTTGTGTATGAGTGTGTGTGTATGGTGTTGATGAAGACAACGGTTGGCCGTTGTTGCATGTCAAAGTGTTGTTTATGTATGTGTGTGTGTTAGTGTTTGTGCGTCCAGGATACGCCATGTACGTGTGCGTCAGTGTCCGGCAGATGTTTGGAAATTGCAGTTTGATAACCGGCCAAACAGTTTGCAAAAGTTTCGGTGTCGTCATCGTCATCGTCGTCGTCGTCGTCGTCGTCGTCATATTTAGTTAATGTCATTATTGACAACATTCGCGCATTGTCATAGGTTTCATAGTTGTTGTTATTGTTGAATGTTTGGAGTTTAGCCATTTCCGTAATTAAGAAAAATCGATACTCAAATGATTAGGTGATGTTTTAGTTATCGTAGTGTCGTTTTTTTCAGGTTTTTAGTAATTTTAATTGCATTTTCCATCGTTGTTGAGTATTTGGATTTATAAAGTTCGAGAAATATAGATATGCAAATGCATTGATATTTCGATTAAAAGGGGAAATTAGGTATTGGTGTTTTGGTGAATCATGCGTAGGAGTGGCATTTTGCAAGACGATACCCATGGGTGGTGTCGTTATCGTTGACATTGACAATGGTTTCAATCGTTTTGTTGTTGTATTTTGTTGGTGTATTGTTGTTAGGGAATAGTTGTTGTTGGCATCATCAGTTGTCAGCGCAATTTGACGCCATTTCCATTTTCCCCCAGCAGCAGCAGTAGTTGGTTGCCGCAAAGTTTTTGCAAGTTCGGGGTTTCGGTTATTTGTTTTTTGTCAAATTTTTTTTTTTGTGGTTTGCCATTGAGTGCAGATTGTTAGAGTCACAGTCAGTGTTGTTGTTATGGTCGGTGGATATGAAAAGGGATATTTCAAGTGCAATTAGTGGAATTGGGTTTGCGGTTTTCGGGTTTTCAGCGTCCATCGTTGGCCATTTGGCGAATGGTTTGGTTTTTTTCATTTTATTTGTTGTTGTTGTTTTTTGTGTGTGTGGTATTAAGTTGTAGTTTGTGTGATTGTGTGGTGTTGTGTGAAGAAGAAATATTCAACAATTAGTTAACATTTTTCGCTTATGCATCCGTTTCGTATTTCTTATGCATTTCTATATTTTGTTTTTGTAATTTTTTTCTTATTTTCCTTGTTGGGGTAACCAAAGAGTAAAGTTAAAACAAACGGACATACAAGGAAATGCCGCTCACATGTGCAGCACACACGCATACAGAGACATATAGACAGATACAGAGACAGAGACCGAGAGATATAGTATGTATATACTATATATAAATACGGAAAAGGAAACGAAAGGAAAAGGAAACAGAAGAGTCATGAATAATGGGTGCAGTTGGCGGTGCGTTGTGAAGCGGCTAATCAGTTGGCATTAACATCGCATGCACAATTAGAAAAAAGAGTGGATTAACGTTTGGTACCAAAAGAGGCAAAGGGGATCCGGGGTTGTGGTGATTGTAAGGGAGAGAGGCTCTAAAAGGGATATGCAAAGCAGGCAAAATGTTGCAACACTAACTATCCAGTGCTATCCTATGCTAACCTATTATATCCCCAGTAATCCTCAGCCCTCTAGCTACCAGGACTACAAACCCCCACTCCATTCCCATTCCCATTTCCATCCTCCACTTTGCCTAGTTTTAATTAACATTATGATGTGCCGACTGAGCTCAGTCTACGGGCTTTAGCTAATAGGCTTAAGCGGCTTTTGTGCGGACCGACAGGGGCTTTGCAATCGGGCAAGTGGAACGACGGCTGCGGAACGGGAAATAGTGGCAAGGGAACAAGAGATAAACTTGTACTGATTGCTAACAAAACAAAAAAAAAACAAAGAAATTATTATCTTTTGCATATGGGAAAAACGGATTTAATTTGAACCATATACTGGTATTATTAATTCCAAAGTCAGTCTTTGGGAGGTATTTTGGGTATTTTAAAGAAATAACAATGGTTACATTATTTTCTCAATTAAAATGTAACTATTTTCTAATTAAACTGTATCCAAGAAATTTAGCTAACTTCGCGAAGCCAAAGTTAGCCATAGAATAATGGGTTCGAATGTTCAATCGATCACAGCTAAGCCAAAAATGTATTAATTTCAATTGGGCTTTAATGTTTAAAATATTACAATTTTTATGATTTTTTACAATTTTTTGTTACATTTTTTGGTCTAATGTTTTATTTTTTATTGATTAGCATTTTCATTGCGAAGCAAAATATAAAATATATGATTCTTGGGTAATCATTCAATTTTTTTTGCCTCATTTACAATCAAAAAAACGTTCTTGGTAAATAAAATGTATATTTTTATATGTTAATTTTAGGGGTAATCAAAATATTTGAAATATCATAACTAAGTCAAAAGTACATTAATTTCAATTCGGACAGCTTTTCTATGATTTTTTTGAAGAGTTAACCAATCTGCATACTCAGTTTAAATGTAGAAATGTAGAAAATTAAATTTTTTGTCAAATTTTGAAAAGTTTAAAAAATATAAAAGTTTATAAAATATTGAAAATTTCGAAAATTTTTAATTTTTCCCGGACATAGCTAAAAAGATTTGCCAGTTGATCCTGATCAAGAATATATATGATTTATAGGGTCGGAAATGATTCCTTCACTGATTTTAAAGCCTCTGACTGAAACTATAGTCGTCTTTAAGGGTGTAAAAATGATAAATTAATTACTAAAAGTATAATCTCTTTAAACGGTATAAAAATGATAAATGAAACTATATTCCAGTTACAAATTAGCCACAGAAACTAAAACTATTTTAAGATATTTAAAACAAAGATTTTTCGGGGTCTGGAGGACAATGGTACGTATACGTAATATTCTATGTTGGTTGGAGCAATACTACGTATACGTAATTTTAGATTTTTATTAGGTTTCAAGTTTTGTAAAATTTGAAAATTTAAAAAAAAAATTGTTCCCCTGAGATAGCTAAAAAGATTTGCCTGTTGATGCTGATCAAGAATATATATGATTTATAGGGTCGAAAATGATTTCTCACTGCGTTTTAAGCTTTTGACTAAATTTATAATAAGAAGTTTCAATAATTCTCATCTTTTTAATGGATAAAACCTTAAATTTATTCTTATAATACCCAAATCTTTATTTCTCAGCTTCATCTATGGTTTAATCTGTACTTATTTGTAATTTTTAATTTAATTGAATTATTTCCCATGTTTTATTTTATATATTTCTTATATGGTTTATTATTCCATATTCATTTTAAGCACTGTAAATAAATTTTTCTGCATGGAAATGGGAAAGTCTCTGAACTTTTATCCCCTTCTCTACATCATATTTTTGTGAGTGCTAAAAATCCTTTCAAACGTTTTCAATCCACGGCTTTAGCTCTCTAGTTTGCCTGATTGATATAACGTTCGGAATCTGGTAAAAAGTGCGAAAATATTTGCCATTAGTCCATTGTTATCTGTCCTACCGACAGCTGTTCCAAAAGCGAAACCATTGTCCCTGGGTTCGCTTCAATCCAATAAGCAGGAATGCCAATACAGCTGAGCATCCTTCCAATACCCTCCTCCTTTTGAGTTTTTTATACGAGTGTGTCAATAGTGGAGGAGGAGGAGAAGGAGGAGCAGGAGGTTCAGGTTGGGGTTCGGGGGGGACTGTGAGTAAATAAATACCCTTGGACAGCGGGACGAACGTTTGATGTTGCAGCTCGGCGGCACTGGCGCTTTATTTATTTACTCAATAAAGCAAATTTATTGGATAATGCATGGGGATGGCTGGCTATCTGGGGATCTCTTCGGGAAGGGGATCGAGGTCCAAACAAAAGGCTCAAACGGATTGGGAGGGAAATCGGGGCAAACACAAAGAGAGTGGAGCATATATATATATATACGAAATTCAGGAGGAAAATTCAGGAAAATGGGATTGCAAAAAAATTTTCAAATGTAAATGCAAATAAAGCGAGCAAATGTCATAAAGTAAGTCTACAGTTACATACAGCACTACTCTACATGGACAATACGACTACATAAAGCACACACAAATACACACACACACACACGCACACACACTCGGTGACTCACACAGACACATATACCTTATATATAATTATATATATATATATATATATATATATATATTCAAATAGACGTACGAAAATGGTGCAAAGTTTGTTTCGGTTTGAACTCGGTGCGCTTGAATTTATTTTATTAATATTCCTCTGTATTTTACCAACCAAAAATATAAACAGTAAAAGTGGGCCAAAAAAAGAGGAAATACCAAAAAAAAAAAATATATATATATAGAAGAAAATACGAACCCAAAAAAAGGGGAGACAGAGACGCGTTATATAGAGTGAGGGATAGAGAGAGAGAAAGGGAACTGAAATGGAAACAATGCAAGGATATTGCTGGTGCCTGGCCTCATTGTTCGCATTGTTGCCAGGCCCGGGCATCATCCTTGTTAAACAAATGGACGACCGGCCGCAAAAGTCGCGACTCGCAAATTCATCCAAACATTCGCTGCAAAAGAAATCTTTAATTATGCAGAACCGGCGAGGAGCTGAGTGGATTGCATCGCATTGTATTCAAATACATAAAAAATAAATTTAAGAAAAAAACACATACACATTGATGGGAACAGGACTAGCCGTAAATGGTATATACCCAACTAATATCCCTTTTCATTATAATATAACAATCAATGAATACTTAGGAGATTTCTTAGCTAAACTAAATAATCTTAAAGCATAAATATCTCTTTTAGTCCCACTGAACTCAGCCTAGGCTTTAACCACAATTCTTAAACTCTTAGTTATTAAACTTTAATAAACTATCATACTAGAGATTATTATTAAATATCCTTTCCTATCTATCCTATCTACCATACTTAATATTATCTGTATCCAAAGAGTATTCCCTAGTCTTTGGCTTTTCTCTGCCTATTTGATGTTAGTCACCATTGTCCTGGCATCGTGGCAACACAATTTATTTTATTATGTTCACAATAATTTATATGTATTTATTTATTGTTTAAATAACATGACAAGAGGAGGGGCCAGGACACACTACCTTCCTTCCTCCTCCAGCTCCGCGGAGCAGCATCCGTCTCTTCTCTGCTGTTGTTTGGTTTGGTTGTTTTTGTTTGATTGAAACATCGAAGGATTTATATGAAATGGCGTTTTTATTTATGATGCCATTTCGTTGATTAACACTCTTTGACGGGCAATGCCAGCAGCAGGAGCCGCAGCAGGAGGAAGAGGGAAAAGCTACACTGAGATAATCCTTTTCTAAAAATAAAAAGAAATATTTAGCTCTGCTTTCTGTATAATAAAATTCTTTACGCGGAGAATTTATCGTGGCGTTATTAAAACTTAATATACCCAGAATCTTAGCCAGTAGTGGATATATACGTTCTGAATAAAATCAACAAAAATGAGCAACGAGAGTTATTCAACAGGAATTCATATTTTAAAAGTGTTTTTAACACACAACAAAAAATCTTGGACAACAGGTGTTTTCGAAACGTTCTCTATGGAATTGGAAATATTTCTAGGATTTTTATATAATTTTATATTATTTAAAGAGGTGTTGAAGACTACTTCTGAGCTCTTGAAAAGGAAGCTGCTTTTAACCTCTTAGTCAAGTCGTTGCTGACTTTTAAGCTCTAAAACGTCCTTAGGTCATATATATCCTTTACTTTCAAACAAAATAGCTTCTGATGTGTAAGTAGTAAGCATTATAATTATTATTACCTTATTCTGAGCATGCAAATGCAAATAGTTAAAGCCCTGTGCCCTGTGTCTATTATAAACGATTATAGATACTTTCATAAATAATCCCATTGAATCCCATGTTGATCGCTTAGAGCGAGTGACTTTCGCGGCGTTTTTGAATGGAATAACCACGGCTTTAAAGGGATTAAATTCATGCTGATACAATGACTTAATTTGTTTTCATTGTTTACGCGATGTGGCTTCATATCTCCACAAAATAATAGCTATTTTACATTTATTATTGTTGTACTTGTTTTTTTGGTTTGTATATTACGTTTTTAACGATTGCCGGCCGATTGTTTATTGTTGTTAACAACAATCGCTTACAGAGAGTATTTTATTTGTATTTGTATTTATTTTTTGTGAGTTGTGTGCGTTGCTCTTTTATCGCTTGAAACTCTTTGGCATAATGCCCTGGATTGTCCCGGATTGCCCCTCCCGGTTCCCCGGAATCTCTTTGTGAGTGTTATAAATTAAATGCGAGTGCTAATAATAATATAATGCGATGATAAAAACAATAAGCTGCATAGCTTTTTTCGTTCTCGATTTTGCAACGCACAAATTGTGCGTTGTTTATTTAAATTTATTTTGCTGCCACAACTCGATTCGCTTCGATTCGATTCGATATAGTGTATATATTCTGCCAGTTTGGTGTTATTATTTTGCTTCGTTCTTCTGTTGTTATTGTTGCGGAGTCCCTTTTGTTTTAGTTTCATTGGTGCATTGGTGCGTTTAATATGCAGAGTGCTCTATATACACGTTATATATATATATATATATAACATATCTTATGTGCATGGCTATTTATCGTAAATATTGTATGATACTATGACTGTTTATACTGGTAGTTAACTATTGAGTATTACGGATATAAGAATAGGTGCGCTTAAGGGTTACATAATTGCGATAATTGTGGTGCAGTTTGGAACACGTTATTGTTATTGGTGCCTTTTAGAATTTGAAAATTATCATTTAAAAGTTATTTAGAACAATTACATTTTGTGCACTTGAAATGGCAAATGAAACGAAGGAGAAGAACGTAAAGTAAAACAATCCAACTAAAAACGGAAACGAAAAATGAAACGGAAACGGAGAAGAGTTAGAGTAATTCGAACGCTGCACTTGAAACCGATACATACCTTGGCTGGCTGGGCTGTCGCACCGTCACCACTCACCCGATGACCCCCAAGGTTGTTCACCACGCACGTGAAGGTCGCGTCCCGACCTTGGGCAATGGTCACGTTCTCCAGCGGCACCACAAAGTCCGGCTCGAAGGCGGCCACTACGGAAGGGTTTTGTTTGGTAACGGTAACGGTAAGATCTTCATTTCAATTGATATTACCATGAAGAAGAGACATTTATTGAACAATTAACACAATTTCGAACAAATATACATATGGCTTTGTATGGGATGTGTGATGTGTGTGCGTTTCTCAATGTGATTGATTGTGTCGAAAGGAAATTCAACAAATAAATCATATTTATATATTCTTTATATTATTATTAGGAATTTTAAGTTATTAGCGTGTGTGTGTGTATTTTTGTCGAGTGTAGAGCGAGCGGCCTGTCAACGATTGGCAAATCAATAAGAATCAAGCTGAACGAACCGCTCAGATCGATAGCGATAATACGTTATCGATCTAATTGGGCAAATCAAGCAAGCATATAACACAGAACCGGACTATCGGTGTATCGACCACCAATTGTCGCAACTCTCGGTAGTGTATAGATTATCGATAATGGGTTAAAGCGAAGCAAAAACTGTTATCGGCATTTGCCCAACGCTTCAGCGCCAGAGCTCGATTAGTTTATAGAAATATATATATATTTATGTATAGATATATATAGTTTTTTCGTCGGCAAACTTACCAATGCAATTGCAGAGTAGCAAAAGTACCAGCAATTGCCACCGTACGGCACTAGCACTTCCGTTTCCGGTTGTGGTTCCACATCCGCTTCCGGTCTCACCTGCCGCCGCTGCCTCAAGGTGCGCCAGCTTGCGACGATTCGTTAACCGTTTCGGATTCACAATAGAACGGGTATTATAACTTCGCTGATCCTTCAGTAATCGGCTATAACTTTCGGCTATGTCGGCGATCCGCTCGCCGCTCTCCTTGACCAGAATGTTCATCATAAGAATGTCCCAGCTTCGATTGGCATGACGTTAACCGGTATTAACTGGGCTACTTAGATGTGCTACAAAAAAATATTTACAAAACAAACAAAAATTAATACTTGACAAATACATTTATAAATCATAAAGAGGCCTAGTCTTGTACTGTCAACATTTTGACTATTTTTATCCTAATTGTATTTCTTATCGAACAGATAATGTCCTTTCCTTATTCTGCAATATATTCGGAATTTATTGAGGGTATGCATAGAATATTATTTGATTTGGAAGCCCTCATTGACTCCCGTCGCGGTAATACCGAGTCCCCCAACCAGGATCCGCAGGATCAGCAGGCTATCGGGACAAAGCGTTCAATGAACGAAGAAACCGAAGACGATATCGAGGCGATGCGTCAGATCAAGCGACGTCGCAAGGATAATTAAATTATTTCACAAGAATACACGCACTATCAAGGGTATAGGTGAGGTTTAGAAAGACAACATTATAAATTCAATATATTATTTTTATATCTCTTTATAACCAGCTACCTCTGCCTCCAGACAAAGAAAATGTAATCATCTATCAGGAACAGAATCAAGAATACACTCGCGGTTGACAGAGATTACAAAAGGATCACAAATAATTTTTACATACATATGTTGCATCAACAATTTAATAAATTAGCATGATAAAACAATAATTTGCAAGTTATTTGGCTTAAATAATTTGAGTAAGTTCCTTAAAATAGATTATAGGAAATGTGAAACCTATATTAATTGCCTCATATTAACTGCACAGAGACAGCTTTCCCATTATTTGTATTTTTTAAGGCATTGCTTATCTTTGTCTGCTCGTAATTCTCTCCTTAATTTGTTGATATATTTAATCTAAACAGACGTAGATACATCTTGCAGTGTTTGCGCGGTATCTTGTATCTTGTAAATGCAATATCTATTGACAGAGAAAGAGAGTGAGAGAGGGAAGAAAGTTAGGAACGGGAAAGGAGCCCAGCCAGACAGTGACGGTGTCTTGCTTCGCCTTTGTTTGGCGACGACAACATTTTTATTGCCACCCCAAAGGAGGAGCCAGCGAAGAAGGATCAGGAAAAGGCAAAAACTTGTACTACACAGGGCAAAAAAAAGGACTCTTTAGTTGAGAACTTTTACTAAATTATTATTTAATTATATACCAGAAGTATTTCTTCTATCTTTCTATTATAAATGCCTTTAGTTAGTCAGTTAATTATTTAATTGAGGCATTCAGTATCGCAAGTTTTTCTTGGTGTAGCTGCATTCAGGACAGTATAGTCCAGGATACGAAGCCCGCACGTGCCGCTATTTACATTTGCACGTAATAAATTCACTGAGCCATGGAGCCGAGTCGCTGGACGACTAGGACTCGCAACAGGAAATGTGGCGGAAGTGCATATGCCGGCTATCGTTTGCCCTAGTCCCTGTCCCTGTCCCTTCCCTGTCCCTCTGCCTGTCCCTGTCACTGTCCCTATCCCTGTCCCTATCCCTCTTCCTGTCATTGTCCTTGTTCCTGTCCCTGTGCTTTGTGTGTGTGTGTCCTTCGACTTGGACCAACGTGTTGCATTCGGCATCGTCTTTTATTTCTTTCGTCCTCCATACACATATTTACATTGACGAAATTTAATGAGCTCACAAAAGCCGGGCCCCAAATATTTGAGTTGGATCGAAGCTGGGCGGTTGGGGCATATTAGTGTATGCGATGAGGAGGATGAGGAGGAGCAGGACATGGATGTGGATGTGGACATGGACGTGTGTGCCAGGCGTTTTATTAGATACGTGTTCTATCTATCCTTATCCAGGCTCTCTTGGTACTCGGTACTTGGTACTCATTCTTTGGTCCTTTTTCTATTTTTTGTACCACCTTCAGCCTTCACCCCCTTAACAATCCGGGCGTCTTTTGTGCACTTTCTGACTGCCGTTCCAGTTTCGTGGCTTAGATCTGGGTCCTGAGATTCCCTGTTCCAGGATCCCATTAAATAGGGGTTATGTATGCTCTAAGGAGGTACAAGAAATATAAAGAAAGCAGCTTCTAAAAGATATATTTTTAAATAAATTTAATTATTCATGAATTGATACTTGTTTTTAATAATAAATATCAATGCATTTCATAATTTAAATAGTAATAAGATCTCTCTTTTACTTGAATTACAGAATGTTTTTCAATTAGCTTTGATTTACAAAGAATTCTAAATTAAAAATCCTATTAATCATTCTACAATTACAAACCAAATACTTTTTTAACATTAAATTTTATTCTTTGGCAGTACTTTTGTATTTATATTGATTTTATTTTATATTTAACAACCAAAGAGTGAAGTATAATCCATTTCTCCCATTCCCCACATACATATTGGTTCATATAGAGTTGATAGAACCAATTTTGGGGACTATAAAAAACACACACACAGTGCATTTACCCTCCGTTGCATTCTTGGCTGGACAAATTAAATTACCAATGATAATATTATATTGATTTTGGCCCTCACACACACCCAACCCAGACACTCTCTGGCAGCAGCAGCATGAATATGGTTAAAAATTACTTTGTAACCGGGCCAAATTGACGGCTCATGCAGGTGAAATTTTATTAGGGTCAGGTGGTGAAGGTGGAGCAGCAGCAGGAGTAGGAGTAGGAGCAGCAGCAGGAGCAGGAGCAGGAGCACCCGTAGCTGGTAAGGTAACCTGTTCCAATCTGAAATTCCAGTCCTTTTGGGGGCTCTGGCTTTTAATTGAAACAAAGTGCCATGGCTGAAACTCAATATTAGAGTAAATATTGCCAGGAGGTCGCCTCGTTCCCCAGTCGGCGTTTTGTACTCAGATTGAAATAATATTCGAGGGACATGGAAGTACAGCGTCACTGGGAGCCTGTTATCCTGGCTGCAGGCCCCTTTGGCTTTGGCTTAATATAATTTCGGATTGTGCAAAAAGGTAAACGGAAATTTGCTGGCATTTAATTGTTTTGCCTGCTGCTTAAGTGGCATTCCCCCGTTGCACATATATATATTCTCTTCTCTTAACTAGTTAAGTTTGTTACCAAAAATATTTAGCTTTTCTTTGGCTGGAACTTTAAGTAAATCAGTTTTGGGGCTTCTTGTGGGGAAAATGCCTGTGTTTTCTGGGCTGCTGCTGCTGCTGACATTTAAAATCACACACTTGGGAATGCATGAAGGGAATAAGGTCCAAGTTTTGCCTCGAAAGTAAACAGAATTAAACACACACACTGGTAGAGAGATAGAGAGTGTGAAAATGGGCAAGGGGAAAATGACAACTTGGCCATTGACTGGCCCATGAAACGTGCTCATTTCCCCCAACCTCTGGCTTTGCTTCTGGTCCTTTCCCTTGCACATTTCTGGTCAATGTGTGGTCGTTGTCATGGTCAGCAAAACTTACTTCTCGCGGCATCATTGTACGAATATGGGAGATTTTGGGGGCGTGTGGACAAGACTGTCCAATGTCCAGTGTCCACTGTACGTGGTCATTTGTAGCCTGGTCGGGTCTCTGATAGTACAACAGCTATAACTATATTTGCTTACACACATATGAAATAGGAATAACTGGGGTCTTTGGTTTATACTCACAACTAGTTGGTACCTCTAAATGTTATTTAGTTTGTCTTAAATTTATTATAATTAATTTATTATATGTTATTAAAGAATAAAGTGAAAGAAGGTGGTACTAAAATCAAATACTAAATCAATACTAAATCAAGAAGAAACTCTAGGCATAAGTTAAGCATTCAGTGATTAAATTAAACAGTATTAGTTTAGGAATATATATCGATAGAAAAATGACATATATAGTATAGGATATATCAATAAATATATCATATAGCGTCTAAAAATCTTTATTTCTATCTCCAAAATGCAAAGATATACATATAATGCTCCATATATTTTTAAGTGTTTGCCAAAAATCCTTTCTTTAAAAACTTTGTGTCTTCATAATGTGATTCTAATATTTAATTGTCACTAAATAAATCTCTGCATTTTCCATTCCATTTAAAATTAAATTAAAAAACAATTAAATATAATATATAAAGTAATATTTAAGACACAACTTCCCCTTTGTTCTTAAACTACGACTTACATTCACAACATTCTCCACACTCGCTCGCAAAATTTTGATACCTCGCACAAGAATGCACTAAACCTTTTCACTTGACCCGCCCCTGGGCTCCTCCCCCTCCCTCTCCCCCATTGCTTCGGTGGGGTTACTCCAACTCCGCCCTGGAATGGGACTTTAGTGCTGATGCGACAGATTTCCGAGACACTGTGGACATGTGGCAAAGTGTAAATGAGCAGTCCCGGCCAGAGATTCTCGCCTCGTGTGGCCGGCGGCGCAATTGTCACACTAGGAACACACACCTCCCCTTTCCCTGTCCCCCACCACTCCTCCCTCCTTCCAAATTCCTCCCCTTTCCATTCTGGCAATGTCACGCCCCTTGGTAGCTAGGAAATATGCAGGAAAATGCGGCATGAGTGTCAACTTGGTCCAGCAGGAAAAATGCCAGCTCGTGTCATATTTTTATTTGCTCACTGCGAGCCAGCTTATACCCCTCCCTCCCCCTGCCTACCACTGACAACTGACCTTACCGCCGCCTATGCCACGCCCCTCAGGGCAATACTCAAACAGCGGGCGACCGCCCACCGCCCACCACGCCTTGCGGTCTAATTGAGCGCTTTGGCTTTGGCTTTAGCTTCGGCTTTGGGCTCCAAACAACCTGAACTGTTGGCCATTGAGCCGGCAAAAGGGGGGAAACAGTGCGGGTAACAACACTGAGAGAAATATTTAATGGGAAACAACGTATTATCTAAATAAATCTATAAAAGAATAGATAACTTTTAAACATAGTAAAGGCAACATAATTCATGAAGAATTTATATATTTCAAGCACTCAATATATTTTCTATTTATAGTTTCTAGTTTCCTACATTTTTCTCGCCATGTTTGAGGCTTGTCTCTGGCAGGACAATTGTCGTATTGGCCTGATCCTTAGTTATCCTTAGTTATGCTGTGTGTGTGTCTGTGCACTCAAGTGGAAAAGTGCCTCGCTATGAAATACGTATAAAAAAAGAGTGGGGGAAAAACGAAGACCACGGAACCGGAAATGGAGGAAATAAAGCTCTAAGATCGAAATGTAGGCAAAGGATTTGCTGGCGGTATTGGAAAGCGGAAGTGGAAGAGAAATACTCTTGAGAACTCAAGTGTTTCAAGTGTTTCTTAGCAAATCTTATTAATTGAGCCAACTAAGCTCTGTCTCTCAATGAAATCTATATTTTTTGGCTTCCAGAAATGCTGGCTAATGAAATTAATCAAATTCTAAACGATGAAAGTATTTAGAGAATGCTTAAGTCATTTAAATCACTATTAATTAATGTAGTACATAGATAACTTTAAAGAAAATTGAATTTAAGTAATTATAAATTAATGTACTGAGTAGATAATTTGAAGAAAATAGAATTTCTGCTGAGAATGCTTAAAGTTTGGACGAGTTTTGTGTAAATTACAAGATCCAAGTAATCCATGAAATTAGTAACAAATTTTTTGAAACAAACCGAAGCTGTACAGCTTGTAGTATCAGTCCCATATTGGATTGCTAACCATTCAGACCTCACTCTCCCGTTTTCATTCTCCCATTGAGATAAATATTTTGGAATCGAAAATGTGCTGGAAATTTGTTGTCCCGTTGACGACCCTGGTGGTGTTCAGTCTCCTGCTGGTGAGCATGACTGACGCATCACCCAGTTTCAACAACTGCAACAAGGGCACCAAGGCCTCGTGCAAGATAAACCACCAGATGGCCAGCAAGGTGGCTGCCGAGGCAGCCACGTCTGCCGCGGCGGCCCTGAAGGCCGGTGGTGAGGCGGCCACTCAGCAGATTCGGCTAGTGCTATCGGAGCACGCTCAACAGGCGGCCGCAGCGGCCTCCGATATTCTAGCCGGTAAGAAAAATCAATTGGAGGCTTTGAACAAGCGCCTGGCTGAGAATCAGAAAGCCATCGATGAGGGAAACCGAGCCATAGCCATCACCATTGGCACCATGAAGCGGGTGTCGTGGATACGGGAGAGCACGCGTCAGGGTCTGGAAAATATGATGTCCATGTACAATGAATCACTCGGCACCCAGGCGGATGTCAATTACCTGGCCGACTTTGCCGAGCAGGAGGAGGTGGAGAAGACCAAGCTGTTCACGGAGGCAACACGGCGTTTGGACAACCTAAAGAAGTGCATGAATCTGGCCGAGGAGGATCTCAAGAGCATCCGTCAGAGTGCCATTGAGGCTAATAACGCCGCCGATGAGGCCAAACAGAGAATCGATATGCTGCGCCAGTTGGTCCCAAAGATTAAGATGCTCAAACGTGAAGATCTCCAGACAGTCACTGATTTCCTGCTCAAGCGCAGGCGTTCACCAAAACACATTTCTGCTAAAAATTCTTATTGATTTCTTGCGTTTGTTAATATTTACAACGTTAATTCGTGACTTTTGGAATTGTTATACACAGGACAAAGATACACGAGAACAATATACATAGTGTTGGCACAAAAAAAACTTAAAGAACCTTTCTTCGGTATCCTCTTTTTATATTCCAAGAAACCCCTTTGACACAAGTACAGTCACAGCTCACTCAGCCCCTGTTCCACCCATCCTTCCTGTTATCCTGCATCCCCAAAGCCTTATTTCCTGAACCCCCACTATCCACAATCCGCAATCCTCGATCCGTAATCCGTAATAAGCTCTATCAATAGCCGGGGCCAAGTCAATAAGCGACCAAGCAAGCAGCAGGCTCAGTTACAGGGCAAAGGCAATTGCCATCAAGTGCCAAATAAAGGCATAACTCTGGCACGACATCCAAGGACCGACCTGGGCACCAGAAAAGGATATAGCCAAGGAGGCAAAGAGGGAGGCTGGTAGCAAACTGAAGGCATAAAGATTGAAACTTGTAAATGGGCAAATAAAATGGAAATGAATATAATAAAGTCTCCGGCGCGAAGAGCCTTCCGCTTTTCTGTCCTTACGTCTTATGTTCTCTCCGTTCTTTGCCTTCTTGGCCTGTCGTCCTGTTCTTATCCTTGGACCCTTAACTCCCGGCTGCCGCAGCCTAAGTGAAAAGCTGACAAGCAGCTTACGTAAATAATGTCAACGCAACAATAAAAATAATAAACGAATTAGCTGCTTATTCAAGGGTCATGACCCGAGGGAAGGAAAGCGGCAAGGGCGAAGGGAAGCAGAGATGTCAATGTGAAAAAGGACTTTCGAATCGGTTGATAAACAAAAAAAGAAAAGAGTTTATTCTTGGATTTATAATTGTTTAATTGTATAAAAAGTTATGGAATCTGGTAATGTAGCCAAGTCTGATAATGATCTTTGATTTGTTAAGAATATATATATTAATAGGATACCCTTAAGTTTGAGTTTATGTCACTGTAAAAGAATAGTATATACTTCTAGCTAAAAACAATTAAATTTAATCAATTTCTAAATAAGAAAAATAATTATTTCATGATCTAACAATGCCCAATTTTTTGCCAGGTTCGACTTCAAGGACTCGATAAAAAAAGGACAAATTGTCAGCACTGCCGAGGGAGGGAGTAACAGGAACGCCACAAAAAAGGCAAAATCCCCCGCACCCCAGAACAAACATTCAAATTGACTTTGCGACTCCGAGAGAACGCTTGTTGGGTTTACAATTTCAAAGGGCAACCCCACAGGACTCCCGACAAGACAGGGCTCGGGCAGGACTCCCCGACATTTGCAACTCTAGTCTATTTGTCTGCGCTGGATGGCAAATGGTAAATGGTAAATGCTAAATGCAAAACGGTGGCGGGCACAAGGACGTTAAGATGTTTATGGCTTGTCAAGGATTATTGTTATCACCAGCTAGCCAGGTATGCAAACAAACGACTTTTCCCAACCAAGCACAAGCACAAGCTGCTTTTCCCGGCTTTCCACGCTCAGCGTCATGTAATTGCCGTGTAACAGAGAGATGGCAGCCAAAGCTAACTCTCCGCACTTCCCAAACTCCTCAAAAACCCAAAAACCCCAAAACCCAAACCCAAAACTCGAGACCCGCAGACAGATAGACCGACCTCAGACGCAGTGATGCCAAAACGGGGGGAATGGGAAGGGGGCAGGTCCTGTCTGACCGGAGCCACAGCTTCAGTTTTAATCTTTTGCGAAAGTCACACAGGCCAGCCAGCCAGAGAAAAAACCCGAAAAAAACAAAGGAAAAACCATAGTAAATATGGTAAAATGTTATTAGAGCTGCGAAAAAAAGATACCAAAATTTTTAAGGTAGCTTCAGGGTCCTTTTTCTAATTGATTTATGTAATTAAGGAGTTGAATTGAGAATTTTCGGATTAACTTATTTAATTTCTAATAAATGTTGAAGACTTTTAGAAAGTCTAATAGCAAGTTTATAGAATGCAACTCCATCCATAAAGCTTTTAATTAAAATTTATTTATATTTATTCACAGATTACTTTAGTTGGTTACTCTATCCCTTACTTAAAGGGTATTTCTTGGCCTTGTCTCTGCAGTCAGGAAATGGGATTTATGAGCAGCACACACTTGACTTCACTTTTCCCTATTTTCGGTTTCCGTTTCGAGAAAGGGAAAAGAAGCAGGAGACAGGAGACAGGAGCAGCAGTTGGAGTCCGAGCAGGAGATGGAACAGATGGAGCCAGGCAAGAGCTGGATTTTGTAGCTGAAAGCAGGAACTACTGGCGAGTCATGAACTGTGACAAAAGGATTACCAGGGAGTTACTTGCGGACCGTTGGCAGTGTTGCAGTTTATAGGCTAAATGAGATTAATTTGGAGATTAAGCCAGGATGGCCACAATGAATACGGCTGCTCCTCCTACTGCTCCTGCTCCTGCTGTTGCTCCTGCTGCTCCTGCTCCTCCGCTGTCACATGTCCTGTCTGCAACTGTGTGTGCCTTTCAATTTATTTGGTTGCCTGTCGATTCAGTCGACGTGCAAATTTATTAGATTAACAGCAAATATCAAATAGGAAATTAACTGTCGTCTGGACACGCCAGCTGGGATGTGGGATTGGATAGGGTGGGATAGGGTAGAGAAGGGCGTTCACCTGGTTGGTTATCCACCTGTCCGCAGCACTCACACACACACCTGTCACTTTGCGGTTGACGTTTGTCTGTCTGTCGTCTGTCTCTGGATATCAGGCTTTCTTTTATGGTTGGTTGTTTGTTATCCTGGTCCTTTTGCTGACATGCAGAAATCTGTTGCTTGCTTTTAGGCGCCAAAAAATTATTGTTTATTTAAAGGGTTAAAAGTTTATACCAAAGGATATACAAGGAATAAGCAATATATTTTAAAAGGGATTTTTAACAAACATTAAATACCCATTAATAATTATTGATAATTGTTTCATGCTATTCAAACCCTTGCTTTATATAACTCCTTTCCTTCCTTTTGATTATATTTAAAAAAAGAACACAAGTCTTTAAAATTTGATTTAGGAATGCAAGACTGTCTTTTGTCGGATGACAGGATGCAGAGTCCCCAACAATTTGCTGACATTCAAGTCCATCAACCAGAATATGCCAGAAGCAGTAAAAGGGAGCAGGAGCAGAAGCTATGGTCCTAACCTATATACATATATGCTGACGTGTGTGTGTGTGTAAAGCGGTGGTGACAAGTGCCAGGACCAGGAGCAGGACCAGCAAGGATTCAGCTGGGGCCTGGACAGGGATCAAGCAAGGGGCAACCACTTGGGGCATGCGGATATGTATTAAATGCTACAAATAGCTGAGTCCCATTCAATGTAAGGGGGCAAGGGCTGAGGTCAACTCGACAAATGGCAAGCAAAACATGACTCCGTTGACTTGTTGCTATGTGGATAAAGGTGCACTGGGAGAAAAACAGAAACTATTAAATGGGGAAAATTATTGTATTTCTTAGGGTTTGATTAAATTAGTATTTTGTGATAACTAGTTTTTCTGCGTTTATTCTCTTTTCAAGTTTTAACTTCATGTCTTAGTTTCTCTCTATGTAGGAGTGTGTGTGTGTGCGTGTGTGGAAGGTTTGCTGTGCAATGCAATGAGTCAACGTCGCAAGGACACATCCTTTTTCGTGTTGGTGAACGAAAACGACGATTGGCAAGCAGGATGAGAGAGGGGTGAAAACCTCAAAACGAAAGCAAAGTTTGCTATATGAGGAAGTGTGTGTGTGTGTGGAGATGGGTGTGTGAACTTGTGTGTGTGTGGTTCGGGGGCAGCATTTTAGGGGGCGTGCCATGTCCCGATTTTGTCAGTTGAAAAGGGTTCAGACAAATTTTTAAATTAATGACAAAACGAGGCAACATCGCGAGACAAAAATTGGTGCCGAGAGGGGAAAATGGCGAGAATTTCCCTTTTCCTGCTGCTGCTGCTGCCGCACCGCACTTTTGTTTGCCAATGGAAAATCGTTTTAATTAAATTTCGTGGCCAGTTGGCAATAACAATAACAACATCAGCAAACGAATATAACAATAATAAAAAACAACAACAGCAATGAACTTGCATTTGCTGGTAGAATTTACTCCACATTACGAGAACGCCGCATTTATAAACACAACAGGGGCAAAGCCAAATGAAAATGGAAAATGGGAAAATGAGTATGGCCAATTGATTACGAGACCTCATTTTCCCATAAATACCTGAAATCGATCAAAGACCTTATTTCAGTCAGACAAACATTCTATTTTTAAACGATTTTGTGGAGGCTTTAATAGAGGAAAATACTATATTGTAGATGGTAGTAAGGGAAATCAAAGTTATGCTTAGTTCTTTTAAATAACTAGAAAATTAAATTGATAATTAATAATAGTAGGGAATATCATAAGGAAGCATTTCTCGCTTTTGATCAGTTTGTATTCATATTATTATTATAATTAAAATTAATTAAAAATACGATTATAGTTTCAGTCAGAGGCTTTAAAATCAGTGAAGGAATCATTTCCGATGCTGTAAATCATATATATTCTTGATCAGGATCAACAGGAGAATCTTTCTAGCTATGTCCGGGGAAAATTTATTTTTTCCAAATTTTCAATATTTTTTAAGGGGTTACATCGTTAAAATTTGCAAAAATGGTCCATAATTTGAAATTTTTTTACATTTTGAACTGAGTATGCAAATTTTTTACCCTATCGAAAACTAGCATATAAAAGCTTTCCGAAGTGAAATTAATCCATTTTTTGATTAGTTATGATATTTGCAAATTTTGGAATTACCACAAAAATTAGCATATAAAAATAAAGATTTTATATACCTAGAATACACATAGTTTAGTAAAGTCTTCTTAAAGTTAGCTTCCTTTTTTATTAAAATTCAATATCTTTCCATTGGATTCCCCTTGACAAGTCCTATATAATATTAATATAATATAATATCTGAAAAATGCTTTCTGTATTTTAAAAATATTTTATGAACATTACATTTCTATTATTTAATTTTTCTAAATACCTAACTTTATCATTTTATTTTCTTCCAGCTCCTGTAGCTGCCATGCAGCTCTGCCGGAAGTCAGTAAGTTGAAATATTAATATTGATTTAATCTTGGTTAAATTATGCCAAATACTAAGCTCTCTTTCTCTCTGCCTGACTGCATAAATATTTGCTAGAAAGTGTGAAATATCTTGGGGGATAACCGGGCCAAAACCATAACAGCCCGTAGGCTTATATCGTTTGCCAAGAAGCCACAAAGCTGAATGCGGCTTAAAGCTCAGCCGGCTTTGGTTCAGTTCAAGGAGGTACTTCACAGAAATATTAAATATACATATATATAAACACACAAGCACCGCACACACCCAGGACACACACACCGTGTGTATTTAATAGACTTAATATGCGTGCATTAAGTTGTTCGCTGCCTTGTTCGCTTTCGTCTTTTATTGTTGATATTTAAATGCATATTTGTGTCGACATTCAAGTGCTGAGTTGTCCCCAAAATAAAGTTCCTATCAATACCAGCTCCCTGCTCTCCAACTCTTCTATATATATATTTCTTTCTTTCGATGCAAATGTTGTGTAAATGATCTGAACAACTCGCTTATGGCGACTAAACATGCGAATATCGCTAAGGTGGCGTGCAAGGACATTGTTGAGAAAGGGCCAAAAAGGGAATGGGTAATACACATATGACAGTTTGTCAGTTCGATTGAGTTCTCAAGGTGACTAATACAGGTTATTAGGTAGGTTAGTTACAGTTCAAAAACTTCTCTTGGAGGTTTAACATTTTTAATTTGAACTCTGTTACAATTTGGAAACATTTGTGCGTTGTATAAAATAAACAATGAACATTCCATATAAGATGCCTCAAAATACAGAGGATGGATGTTCCAAAGGTATATAGGAGGGTAAAAAAAAACTGGTATGGTATTGATTCTATGATCCTGTGATCCTGTTATCCTGTGGTGTGTGCCTGATAATGAACCCAGACTCCTACTTTCCACGGCTTGACTTTTTCTTTTTCTGACACTGACACGTTTGCAACTCGTGCTGCGATGACAAAGGCGAATATTTGTAGCTTTTGCGGACACTCTCCAAGGGGATATTATCAAAGCGAATTGGCATAACCTTGTGCTTCAGCTGATAACCCAATGTAGAGGTGGAACGATCTGGTAAATATAGAATTATTAACTCCTCACAAAGGATATTCGTACCAATACAAAACCTACCATCATTCGACATGGATCTAGCCGTATGGCCATAGTAACGTCTATCATTCGATTTTTTAAGCGGCGACTTTGGTGTCTCAATCTTGACCTTCTTCTCCTTCTTGACTCGCTTGGGTTTAACCACGGTGGTGGTGACTTCAACCAACTCAATTTCTTCGGTTCCCTGGGATGAATTGTCTTCATTCCTTTTCTTGCCACAGATGCGAGTGCAGTGAAGAATTATCGCTACTGATAGGAAAATTACACTGAGCACTATGGATGCTGCAATGTACAGCCTTTCATCCATATACGGATTCTCCAGTTCTTGTTCATCGTTTGCCGCCCAAAAATGAATGGAGCGTTGCGGCTTCCCCGAATCATATTCATCTTTGACTTCCTCTCGGCTGGCCTGCAGCAGACTCTCCTGAATCTGTAGGATTCCAACGAGACCGGGATAGAACTGTTCGTCAGCCAAGTGTTGGGGCACAAACTCCTGTATCCAGTCGAGTAGCATGTGGTTATAATGTTTGGGACTAACATCCATATAAGTATGACAAGCGGCTATGGTGTTCAGGAAACGCTTCAGCTGGGAGGCAGAGCTGGACGAACGGAGGCTGTACATGCGTTTCTCGCGAAAGGGAAGATATATATTGGTCAAATAACCCTTGTCATCCACTGGCTCTAGATTCGGCAATAGCCAAAGCATTCGACCCTTATCGGAATTGTCACCCAGATCCAACTGATTGCAAATGTTGGTGCCATCTTTAATTACCTCAAATCCCAGCTTGGCTGGCTCTATCTTCAGACCCTTCAGTTGATCCGTAATATTCATAATGCCAGGCATACGCCAACCATATCCATCTGTTTTGAGCAGATCATGGCACTCCCGTTTTACGTTCAACAAATTCTCCACGGTGTTGAGAGTCAGACGACCGGCATAGAAGGAAACCTGGGCCATGGGCAGTAGATGGTAGCGTAGATATGCCCCCAATGTGTCATAGAAGGCTTCCTCCACCAGGGATTCGGTATCGTCATCGGTCATATGATATACAATTTGATTGACAACATTCCAGTAACGGATTAGCATATGAACAATATTGTTGTTCGATAGATATTTGGGATATGTCTTTGGTACCAACCATTCAAAACCCTGACGGGCACGCAGCAAAGCTATCTCATCAGAGGTGAAGCACTGCTTCCGGGGACCCTGGAAGAATGTGGTGCCCAGGAAGGAGTCATCCTCTTTGCCAGCAGCATTGTGTTGATTATAATCTGCCCCAGTAGAGTACATCTTCAGTCCAGAGGTCGACTCGTCGTTAAACTCATCGGTGGGCACCTCCACAGTGACCATATCCAGGTAAATGTGACCATTTCCGATGGTCAGGAAAGTCAGCAGCCAAAATAGCAAGCACAAGTTCATCTTGAATATATAAATTTTATTTTTAAGGCACACAGCAATATTAGTTCCGGTCTCTACGAATAATCAGGGATCACTGGCAACGAGGGAGTGAAGCAGGTAACAGCAAAAGCAGAAGCCTACTTTGAACTTGCTTCTGAATTTAATAAGAAAAGCAGCCAACTTTGACTTGATATAATCATATATAAAAGTAAAGCTACATCTTATACATATCCTAGAATTCATTGAACTTCTGGTATAAGTAGTTATATTTCCTAATTATTATGTTATTTAGCTTTCCCTTTTTTTCAAATTTCCATTATTACAAGTTTTCTCAGTTTTCTTGTTATCAACAATATGGTGTAGTTATTGCAAAAGCCTTATTAATGTGCCAATTATGAGGCATAATGCAGTTAGCAGGAAAGTATGCTATGGTAAATGATGCATGAGCTGCCTTTTATTGTTTGCATATCCTGGGGCCTTTTTAGTTGTTCAATTCATGTGTATGTTTCTCTCTAATTTCCCATCCTTTTGTCCAGCCAAATCGGGCCTCAATAACCAGCTCATACCTTGTTGTTGTAGTCCTGCCAATTGTCGAATTGTTCTGGCATTACGCATACGCAGCGTTGGTCGCCTGGGAAAATATATTTTCTGCATTCTTTCCTTTGCTTTCCTTTCCTTTTCCCCGTGGCAGTAGTAGCATATAGTATTATTTTTTTCACTTAAAGTAATTCTGTAACCATTACCACACAATTGTATGTGCAATTTTCTTTTTATATATGGAAAATGTTTCTTCTTTCCTTTTGTGAGGAGCTGCTGGTTCCTTTGTTGCCTCTGCCGACTGGCCTTTGTTCCTCTTGTTTTGCGGTTTGCTTTGTGTGGGCTATTTCAGCCCCCTGTGTTAACCCACCATTGCCGCACATGTGTAACCATTTTGCCACTGATGCGTTTTTAATTGTGTTTATTTCCGCTTCGCTGTGACACGTCATTTATAAGCTTCTGGCACGCCCACGAAAAAAAGGTCAGCCTTAACTACATTTTATTTATTAACACAAGCAAAAAGAAAACATTACATTTTTGTACAATCTGATATTATGCACTGACATTTTGCATTGAGAGAGTGAAGGCAATCTTGCGAAGATCATCTTGGTTTTTTTGGGGAAAAATCGACAGAAAGGGAACTCGTTTTATCAACCGAAAAATATGGCGTGCGAAAATTTCGTTAAATTTCAGTGAAGCCGACCACCGACCATTGTCCTTTGTTTGCCCATACCCTTTTGTTCCTTCTGCTGCTGCTGTTGCTGCTGCTGCTGCTCCCATAATTACTGTTCGAATTTCCTTTGTTCGCTTCGAAAAATGTATGGGAACAGATCCCGGGGATGCCTTTAAATTGTGATTTTTGGCATTGCACGGTATTTCGGCATATCACAAATCCCTGGCACATCCGACACTCTGTCCCGCGGTCACAATGTTATGCTTATTTTGTTTTTAAAATCGAATACGATAATTCGACAGGCACGCATACATTATGTGTGTGTGTGTTGAGGAGAATTGTAACCCTATAGATTCCTATTCGGCATTCGTTGTGTTCAGCAGCTGAGCTGTGAGCTGTGCACGTCGTCAGTCATATCCCCTTTCCGAATAATTAGTTCCGATTGAAGGCCCGCGGTAGGCAGGTGGCCGTTCGTTTTCCCCCCAAGTCGCTCGGGGTCCTGTGTGAATGTGATTGGCGAGAGTCCTGCCACAAACAGAGGCAGAAATATGAGCCTTGAATTGCAGCAGATACTAGGCATATATATATTAACTATACCCAAAGTGGTTGGAAATCATTACAGTTTTAAATAATTGGGAAAAAGATTTAAATTACCAGCAAGAGTTTAGGATATTTCTAAACACACATTTATTTTTACTACAATTAAAACAAAAGGCAGTTGAAATTTACTTCAAGCTCAAAGGGTATTCAGTTGTAATAAATCAGAGTCAAATATACATAAATGCTCTCTGGCGAAAGTGAGCTATATTAAGAACATATTTCAGTCGATGCTCTCTAAATATGAAATTCGAGTGATATTTCAATTTATCCAAAATGCGACCTACAAATATACAAATGTATACACAATAGTAGGAGAGAAACAGAGCAACGATGGAGGAGCATTAGTTGATTAACCAGTCGATGAAAATGGCTACTCCTACCCAGAAGTGGATGCGGGAGTTGTCAAGGAGTCGAGGAGCAAGGATTCCGGGGAACCAAGCCAAGCCAAACCAAACCAAGTCGAAGCAAAACGTAGCGAAGTGAAACGGACTTGAATTCCGGATTCTCCAAATTAATGCTAATTGAAGTGCATGACTTTTGTTTTCGGCTTCAAATGCCCCAAACAAATGCCAGGAGTTCTAGGTTCTGCAGGTGAATTCCACATAGAGAAATCCATTGTTTCAAATTTAACTTTATATTGAAATCAAAACAGAGCAAGAAACCTTAGTTTAGTAGATAGTTTTTCTAAGAAATTATAAAGATTTTAGTTTAGGAAACCATTTAATTATCGAAAGCATTTTATAGTTATTACTTTACTTTTGTGAAATTGCTATTAATTGTTATTTTGAACATCAAAAGATAACTCTAGTTTTTATACACACATTTCTATATAAATTTCACATTATAAATATCTATATAATTTTCACATTTCACTAAATATTCTACAAGATACTTGTTTTATATTTTCTTAGAATGTATACAATTTTTTTTTAATAACTTTCTAAGAAGTTGTAAGTTTTTTTGATGCCCTTTCAATGTTATTACAATTTCAGTCAGCAGCTTAAGACGATGTGAAGGAGTAATTTCCGACCCCATAATTCATATATATTCTTGATCAGCATTCAACGGGAAATCGATCTAGCCATGTCCGGCATTAATTTATTTTTTTTTAATTTTCAAATTTTTATTTTTATATATCGTCAAAATTGACAAAAATTTGAATTTTTTTACATTTTAAACTGTATGCAGATTTATTAACCTATTAAAAACTTTCCGAATTGAAATTAAGGCTGTTTTGGCTTAGTTATGAGTTTTTTAAATTTGAATTTGTCGATAAAATGTTAATACAAAAAAATTAATAAATATTGATACAAAGAATGCGAATATGTAAAGCTTAGTTATAATCGATTTCAGATTCTACCCGTTAAATCAATTAAAAACTGCAAGATTATATAACCTTCGGTTGCCCGAAGTTAGTTTCCATTGTTTGTATATTCAATTTTGTATTATTAATAACATTTATTAAATTGTTGAATTTACATAAATAATTTATTTTTAATACCCTTGCCTGGTTTTATAATTTCAGTCAGAACCATAAAACTTAGTGAAGGAGTCATTTCCGACCCTATAAATCATATATATTCTTAATCAGCATTAAAAACTGAATCGATCTAGCCACCTCCGGTAGAAAATTAGATTTTTCCAAAATTTTCAATTTTTGCAAAAAATAGAAAGGGGTTACATCGTACAATTTTTCAAAAATGGACAAAAATTTTAAATTTTGTTTAAGTATGCAAATTTATTACCCTATCAAAAACTAACATAGGACAGCTTTCCGAATTGAAATTAATGCATTTTTGACTTAGCTATGGATTTTTGAAGCTTTGAAATCCAATACAAATCAAAAATTACGTATACGTAATATTGCCCCAACCAACATAGAATGTCACGTATACGAACCGTGGTCCTGCAGACCCCAGAAAATCTTTTCTTTAAATATCTTAAAATAGTTTTACTTTATGTGAGTTATTTTGTAACTGGAATATAGTTTAATTTATAATTTTTATACCGCTTTAGAAGATTATCCTTTCAGTAATTAATTTATCATTTTTACACCCTTAAAGACGATTATAGTTTCGGTCAGAGGCTTTAAAATCAGTGAAGGAATCATTTCCGATGCTATAAATCATATATATTCTTGATCAGCATCAACAGGCGAATCTTTCTAGCTATGTCCGGAGAAAATTTTTTCCAAATTTTCACAATTTTTTAAGGGGTTACATCGTTAAGTTTTTCAAAAATGGGCAAAAATTTTACATTTTAAACTGGGTATGCAGATTTATTAACCTAACAAAAACTAACATTGGACAGCTTTCCGAATTAAAATTATGGCCGTTTTGGCTGAGTTATGAATTTTTAAAATTTTGATTTTTCGAAAATTTGTTATATAAGAATATTGCTAAATATTGATTCAGAAAATGCAAATATTTTAATCTTCGTTATGGAAGATTTCTGATATGATTGTATAACTCCAAGGTAAGGCAGTTTCACCTAAGAAAGCTCATGCAAATCTTGAAAATAAATAATAGTTTCCTGAGTATTTTGAAATATTTCAAAAATCTTCCTTAATATTGTAAAATATTCAAATATTTCCACAAAAAGAATGCACTTTTCCACTAAGGACTCTTTGCTAATTGGTACAAAGCATTCGCATTCATGTGTGCCATAAGTGGGATCATTTCTGGAGAGTGAGCCCTGTCCCTGTCTCTGTCTCTGGCACTATCCTTGCAAAAATGGCCAGATTCCTTGTCGCCACAAAAACTCTCTCATTTACCCCTTTGTTCATCCTGTATTCTGTTTCTTTTTTATTGTGTGCGCACTGTACAGTCTCCACATTGTACATACATTGTGCACACTTCATTATTTAATATATAAAATGCATCCTCACACGCACACTGGGCTAGGTAGAGGGGGTCGCACAAAGGAAGACAATTGCTGTGCAAGGCGAGACGAATGAGTAAAAACGTTATTTAATTAATTAATTTTCATTAAAAACAGGACAAAATGCCACGGCAAATGGGGTGGGATCACAGACGAGGGACGAGGGTCGACGGAACACGGTACAGTGCAGGACGATGGGCATTAAAGGACGAGAGGACGAGCAGATGCTGCTGCTCCTGTCAGTGTGGCTGTCATTTACAATTTTAATCTCGTTGTGCAGCAGTTTAGCTTAAGTTCGGGGCGACGGACAGGATAATGAGCGGCGCGGCCAGCGCGCTCAAGGATAATGGATCCTGCAGCCAAGCAGGTAGAAATATCCTTTACTCGGTGCCCTCCCCACTCTCCACTCCCCACCTGTAATTAAACAATCGCGCATGCAGCGAACACTTCACCCGGTGCCCGAAACCCCCCTCACAGAACTTTGGCCCACGACGAATTTCATGGCTAATAAATCACTTTTAATATTAATAAAACATAAATCACGACCAACTAAAAAACTTGAGGCTGCAGCCTCAGTCTCATTTTTGGCGCCTTTTGTTCGTTCGATGGCAAAAAAGTTTCCCAGCCCGAGCTGAATGCCGCCAGAAGAAGAAAAGGGATGCCAGGAATGTGGATTAGGGGGCGGAAGTTGGATATAACTTAACCCGAAAGTTACACCGAGTTCAGGGAAGATCACAGCCATGCCAAAGGAGTTCATAAATTTGTGGAGAAATCCAGCAAAGGGGACATCTCTTCTCTATATATGAGGTGATTTAAGTAAATCATAAAATGTCATGAGAAATGAGTTAGTGGAAATTGGGATTAAATAATTAAGAGTATTTATAATAAATTAAAGAGATTATTTAAAAGAGATAATTATTAATTAGAGGAAAGAAAAAGGTATTAAATAATTGGAATTAATCTATTTATAAAAGGATAATGTTTAATTATTAAAATAGTAAGAGTTGAAGATGTTTTGACGAAAGTAAAAAATATAAACTCAATCCTTAATAAGCCTTTAAAATATTATAAAACGAATTATTGATCTGTGATGAATTTATATATTTCAAATTAACAACTTATATAATAATCTACAATATAGCTTTACAAATCTAAATTACTAAATGTAAATATACTTTAATAACTTGTCATTTTAGTATAACAAATCAAGAAAGATTTTAAGAGTCTAATCATATATCAATAATTGTAAATTAAATATGTTTATTAACATCTTTTTACACATATTTAAAATCCTTTTGTCAGATTCAAAAACTCACAAATCTTTAATTTGAAATATAACCAAAGTAATTACATTTTATCATAAAATTAATTGAGAATGAAATTTATAAATACTCTTTTTAGAAACAAACAATGCCAAGCTTCAAAGCAAAAGGCAATCATTAAGTGAATGAACTGAATGAATGGCCAATTAACAAACGGCAAAGGATAAAATCACAGCACGAAAGGATCTTCGGAGGACACTAAGCCACTCCAATGGAATGCAATCAATGGGAGATATTCTGAATGAAAGTCCTCATGAATTACAAAGTGAACAAGGACAGCAGCCAGGCAAAAGAGCTGGCAAAATGGTTTGAATGCTTTGTGATGGAAGGATATATATACATTTAAAAACCTAATGATCGGAGGAATAAAATGGAAAGGTAGGAAACTCTTCTTTATTATTTGTTTTAATACGCTTTTTATTATTTTTGTATCCGTTCAGTTCTAGAATTTTGGTATTTACCTATCTACAAAGAACACGAGTCGTTGGAGACGAAGTTCGGGTCCCAAAATAACACTGGCTATGGCACTCGCAAAAAAACTTTAGAAAACAATCGGGCAACAAGCACTTGTTTTCGAAAACAAAACAAAAAACAACATACAACAATTATGGTATTTTCTTTTGTATTTCTTCTTTGATTATATATTTTAATATATATTTATTTTTTATTCAAGAGTAATAAGTGTAACTATTTGCACAACGCGCCACTCGGGCAAGGACTCTTGCCAAAAGTCCTGCTAGAATTCCAGAATCGTTTCGAAAACTGAGTTCACTTTGGTTGGATAAATTGGCAAAGACTCGGCTGGGATTCGGTGTGGATCCACTCGACTGAACTGAACCGACGCGCTAGGAAGTTGCCCGAGCACTGAACCTGTCGCGCCAAGCGCCTTTCGCATTGGACCGACCTAGCGCAACGCGCTCGTCCTTCGGCAGCCCACGATGTCCTGTGCCATCCTGCCGACGATGTCCCACTGTCCCGATGTCTCCCGCTATCCCATGTCCCGTTATGTTATCCCACGAGCCCACGCAATCGCCCGAAGTGGCCCGAAGTCAGCCGAAAGCCGTTTGCCAGGATAACGATTCGGGGCATCGCATGCTTCGTGTTTTGGTTAGCCGAATCTAACCAGGCAACATGTTGCCAGCAACATTGTGAAGTCGTTGCCAGGATTATAATAAAAACTATATCTGCTGGTAAGTAGATTTATAAACTCATAGACAATCCTGGCTAACAAATATATTCCCTGCATTTACAGCACAAATTAAAAACAAATCACAACAACTAAATGAGTAAATCGAACGAAAGGCTAAAGGATGCACTTATTACAACAGATCCCAGGTTAATTAAACGGCGCATCAGGTGCACACAAAGTGCAATCAGCCGGATCATTACCGAGATTAAAATCAAAATGAATTAGCAGGCAAGTGAGCAACTCGATTGGCATTATTCATTATCCGGCGAATGTGCTGCAAATGAAGAGCAGGCACAATGATGCCAACTCCCAACGAGTATCTTCAGTGCAACAAATATTTAAATGACAGGTCAGTGAACAATTTATTAATTTACCAAGGTACATATAATTATAAACAATGATGGCAGCTTAATAAGGCAACTCGAACTTTATTTACACAATCCTTGTTATGAAAGCTACAAACAGATTATCGGAAATATGAATTGAAAGCAGTCAAGCTAATGCTTCTAAATTAAATAAAAATATTTGCATTTCAACAAATCTTTTTATGTTTAAATTATAATTTCTTTAGCAAAATTATATTTATAAAAATCAATTTCGAATTGCAAGAATGCGTTAATTTCATGTCTTTGTAAGTTTATGATATCGCCAAGCAGTGTTTGCTATCCGAAAAGCTTAAATATTCTGATTGAGCATTAAAATCTTAATTAATTATCTTTAAAATATTGGAAACAAAATCATATTTAATTTTTTTTTAATTTTTAAAGGGGTTACATCATTAAAATTGTTAAAAATAGATTTCTAAAGGTAAATTATAAAATACACCAATCCGCGGTATGAATGTTTTTAACATTTAGGTTTTTATTATTGAAGTTTTAGTGTTATTGTTTGAATACATTTTATATTAATTTTAAAATTATGTATTATATTTAAACTTCATATTATTTTGTCATTAATTCGTAGGTTGAAAAATTTAATATTATTTCAAAACTATATAATAGTTACCATCCAAGAAGTAAACTATTAACTGATCTTAAAGTGTAGATAATTTCAGTAAATGGATTATGAATTTATACTTTTGCAGGTGTAGTAATTGTTAATTAATTACTTAACCTGTTAATGTATCAATTCACAATTCATTTACTATAAATTGGGACCCCTTCTCCCTTTTTCCTTTCCAAAAAAAGAAAATATAATTAAAATTGCAGCCGTGGCAAAAGGGAGCGTTAAATAACTTAAATAACTGCGGCTTTTGCAATCAAAATAGTAGTCTCTTTGTCTTCTTGGCTTTCCTGGCCGGAAAATTCACTTATCAGGTAGGTGCCTAAAGTGCGTTTTGCCCCCTTCCTCCGATTTTCACGCTTTTCCCCGCACACACACGCACATCACTTAGGCAAATCAAGGAGACCAATAAAGGCAAAAAGGCGGCAACACTTAGTCAGCCGGGGTCGCGATGAGAGCGAGAGTCCTTCTCGCAGGATCTTCTCCTGCTTCTCCTGCTTGGCCCCATCATAAGTCGTCGTCCGTGGCATGTGTGGAAAAGCGGGGGCGGAAAAGCACTCTTTGCGAAAACACGAAAATTCCCATCAATGTCTCGGGATAAGGGGGAGATGCCTCTCAGGCGGTTTTCGGGGGCTGTTTAGGGCCTGGTTGGGTTACCATTTTGCCCCGAAAGTAACCAAAGAAACCCACTTTCATGCTCCATAAGTAAATTCATTTGCCACGCCTCTTCACCCCTCAACCCCACAACCCCTTGCCATCGTGCCCACACCTTGATCTTAATGAAATGTCATCAACTTTGAGGTGTTTATTGCGCTGACAACACACACTCACACACGGATGGGGTGTACACTGAGCGACGAGAGGAGCTATAAGGAGAGGAAACTAATTTTTAGAATAGAATATGAATTTTCTTTGAAATTTGACCTGCCTTGGTTTATATTTATTTTGAAAATTAACTTATTAACTTAGCGTTGTTAATTAAAAGGAACCAAGTGCTAGAGCTTCTATTTTTATGGTTTATGCCATATTAGACCCTAGAAAGTAATATAATTTTAGTCAGCAGCTTGTAAAAATGTGAAGGAGTCATTTCCGACCCTATAAATTATATATATTATTCGTGATCAGGATCAACAGGCGAGTCTTTTAAGCTATCTCCGGGAGAAAAACATTTTTTTTCAAAATTTATGCAAAAAATTATAAGGGGTTACATCGTTAAAATTTTCAAAAATGGACGAAAATTTTAATTTTTTCTTGAGTATGCAGATTTATTAAACTATTAAACTAACATAGGACAGCTTTCCGAATTGAAATTAATACATTCTTGACTTAGCTACGGATTTTTGAAGCTTTGAAATCCAATACAAATCGAAAACTACGTATACGTAATATTGCCCCAACCAACATAGAATATCACGTATACGTACCGTTTTCCTCCAGACCCCGATAAATCTTTTCTTTGATATGTGAAAATTGTTTTATTTTCTGTGATTTATTTTGTAACTGGAATATAGTTTAATTTATAATTTTTACACCGTTTAAGGAGATTATACTTTCAGTAATTAATATATTCTTTTTGACACCCTTAAAGACGACTATACTTTCGGTCAGAGGCTTTAAAATCAGTGAAGGAATCATTTCCGACCCTATAAATCATATATATTCTTGATCAGCATCAATAGGCGAATCTTTCTAGGTATGCCCGGGGAAAATTAAACTTTTTTTCAAATTTTCAAAATTTTATAAGGGGTAACATCATTAAAATGTTTAAAATTTGATAAAAATTTTAATTTTTTTATATTTTAACCTGAGTATGCAGATTAATTAACCTTCTAAAAACCAGCATAGAACAGCTTTCCAAAGTGGGAAAAATGCATTTTTGGCTGAGTTATGAGATTTTAAAACTACTGATTTGTGGGAAAAATTGTCATATAAAAAAATCTGAAAATATTGATTCAACGAATGCGAATGTTTATTTATTTATCATTGATTCCCGATACTGGCTTGTTATTTAATTACAAGATGCTAGGGAAAATAAGCTTCAACTGCCCAAAATTAGATTTCTTTCTTGTTGTATTATTATAAATTATAGAATTATCTATAAGAGTTCAATCAAACGGTATTTATGTATGTATATTTTGCTCAGTGTACACATTTCCAAAAGGGGTTTGGGTAGCGGTGGGAAAACCCTTTGAGAAGCCAAACCGAGCCCAAAGTAATCTTTGAGTCTTAATGTCAGCCTCCCTTGTATCCCCTTTTCCCCCTTCCTCGGCAGCTTTTCTCCGGAAAATGCTGAAAAGGTGTGTGCTAGTGTGTGTGTGTGTGTTTGCTGCTAAGCAGGAAGAACATTTTCATGTATCATAAATTGTCTAACACTTAAAAAGTGATTACGTCTGCGTGTTCCCGTGTTCCCTGTAACCCCGCCAACCCCAGATCCTTTGGCAGGAGCAATCCAATCGAGGACATCAATTTATAGAGTTGCCAACGGAGCTTAGCACTCTAGATAAACAATTTTGTGCAAGTTGTTAACTTTTACGATGACTCATTAATTTTGTAGATTTTCACTGGTAAACGGATCGGTGGTAAAGAGAGAGAAATAGGAAGGCTTAAGTTTCGGTGTAGTTTTCTGCTGAATTGTTGTTTCACGAAAGTTGTTTGTCGATTTTAATGATGTGACACTAAATACTCGTCGCAATCCCTCAATTTCTCCCTTCCCGCCCCCTGTACTTTTGCATAACAAAGGACTCGCCAGGACGAACCCGGACTCACCCGTTCGCCACAATGCATTATCCGCAGGGAGATGTGCGTGTGTGTTGTTCCAAAAACAATAAACATCTCGCATCTGATTTGGTCTCGGATACGTATGCACGGGATTCCGGGAGGCAGATGACAGGACATGTCACATAATCAGAGGGACACAGGAGACCAAAAGGTCAATGAGGGTTACGCTCTAGAGCATAAAAGCCTAAAAAGCAAGGACTCCCTGGAGTATCTCTGAGAGTCCTAGGAGTCCTATGGAGTCCTCTAAAATACCTGCCTCAAAATATTTTCAATGTTGATTAGAACCAGGGATATAAATTACTGAACAATTTATGTATATTTTATTTTATTTTGCATAGCTTGCATAGAATTTTCTACTTTTCCTCATTTTAAATCATAGAATTACCTCACCAAAAAGTAAATAATATTAATAATTATTTTGTCTGTCCGGTGCTATTTGATTGACCTGCATTGTATTAGCAAAATATAAGCATTTCAAAAAGTTTTCATAGTTGCGGTTGACAAGGGAATCGGGTTTCACGCACTGTTCATTATATTTCCAACGATTACATTCGGTTTATTGTGGTCCCAAAAAAAATTAAATATGTTATATATTAACTTTAATGGGTGGGGATTTTGCCACCTTAAATTTCACATACGCACACACATTTATAGTTTTCAATTAGTTTTTATGATTTTCATGGAAAACCTCAAAGAGATTTTTGGAATTTGAAAGGGTTTCTGGGTCTGAATGGAATTTGAGGTTAAAATAGTTAATTAACAATGTCCGCAAATGAAGGAAAATAAATACTGTTACTAAATAAAAGGAAATATATCAATCTGAGTAAAAGTTTTAGTTTTAAAGACACATTCAAATACAAGAAAATACTCCAAGTCAGGGGAAAATTCTAGGTTTAAAGTTGTTTTTCTCCAAAGAACACACTTGCCATTTCGTGAGATATTGCTTCAGGATTCGGGAGGTACTACACCCTAAGTACTTTTCACTAACTTCACTTGCTCTTCAACTTGCCTGCATTTTTATTATTATTTTCTTGCTGTGTTACTTATTTTTTGTTGTTACTCCCTAAGCGATAACCGCGGCATTTTCCGATCTAACAGACAGTAAGTGTGAGTGACAGAGGTGTCGACTTTCCCGACTTTTCCGACTTTTGCCGACCTTACCCCCTCAATAATTTGATGTCCGGGGGAATCAAGGGACCTCGTCTCCTGTTTCCTTTATTTTTTTTGCTCGTTCTTTCGAGGCTTTATTGGTGTTGTTTGGGTCAAATCGCTACAAAATGTAACTACTTAACAGCGACAACATTGGGGCAGCGGTCAGGGATCAGGGGTCAGGGGTCATGAGGGCAGCACCCAGAAAGTGAGTGTAAAGGGGAGGCGGGGCCTTATGGCCTGGCAAATTAAGGAATTTTCATTGAAAAAAACTTGCCAGTCACGCAACAATCATTTGGCCTGGGCCACAACGTCAACGAATAGCAAGAAACGAACACTGATCGAAAAATATATATATTAGTGAATATAATTATATAGTAATCATTAGACTTTTTTTTAGAAGCCTTAGAAATTTATTTTAAGAGTGTGCAATGTGATTTTTAAGGCTACAAATTTATTTGTTTGAGCAAATCACCTTGTAAATGTTTTGCAAACACCTGAAATTTGTATAGCACTTCTCATATTATAAATATTAAGTAAATACTGAACATAATGACATGAACTAATAATGATAATAATCTTAAGTACAGACTTGAAACACTAGTAATATTATATTATTATTTAATTATTAAAAATGTTTCATTCGATAATTCCTTAGTAAATATAGCATTTTAATTTAAACAAGCCTTTGCCGTTTTGTGCCTCAAAGTTTAGCTAGCTTATTTCTCACCCATATATATTTATATTTTTTTTTTTTTCTGTGTACCCTCGAACACTCCCCCCTTTGGTTGGCACCCCTTCTCTGACCCAGAAGCCGTGGCCTGTCCATCAATGGAAATATGTGGCGGAGGAGGCCCCTTTTCCGCCACCCCATACTTTATTATTTCTTATTGAATAATTATGGGTCATTTGTGAGCGGTGACGTTGGGGGCGTGTCAGCAGAAAGGGGCGTGGAGAATAGGGGGTTGGATCCCCTACACCCACCCCCCGTCGCTTCACGTGCTTATCTCGTTTCCGCCGCTTCATTTAAAAGTTAATGACTGCTTTTAATGCCAAAGAATCGGTCAGGACTCGGGCCTCGTTCTCGTTCTCGAGGACTGTGACTCGAACTTCAGCTTCCGGTTGCCGGCCATGTCGCCAGACAGCCCAAATTGATTAGGTTTAAAGGCCAAAAGGCGGCACAAAATCATGGCATACATTAGGGACACCCGCTGGCCGCCCTGACTGACCGTTGCGCCCGTTAAAAGCGAAAATGTTTTACAAATTGAAAGTCACGCAACAATTGAACGTAGAACCCAACACTGCCAGGAAAATGGTAGGGAAAGTCTGCATAACTAAGATAATATTAAATATATAGCATATAGAACTTGTAATCAATTACTAAACAAGTTTTAAAACTTGCCTAAAAGCATTCTTTAACTGTAACATATTTTCAAGCTTACTTTTCCTTTGTATTTTTTAGGTTATTTCAAAGGTCTCCCTACTTCTCTCGCTGTGTATACAAGTCCTCCCTGGCATCCTTAACCAAGAAAAGTAAGTGAAAGTAACCACATTAATGTCGGTTGTCTCGCACCCGCCAAATATTATTGAATCATTAACACCTGGGCCAAGCTCACCTGCCCAAACTGCTGCTGCTGTTGCTGCTGCAAAAAAAGATGCCATAAAGTTGATTAGAAGTCACTTAATGGCAACGGATGTGCAGGTTTATTACAATTTGTAACGAGAGAGCTCTACAGGGGTGGTGGAAAAACTCCCACACCATCCGACATTAGCGCCCTTATAAAATATGCAGCGGTCGCGTGTCTGTTTCCAATAAATACGAAACACCGGACCCTGCAGGAATCCTTGGACCACTCTCCGGACTAAGGACTCCGGACTACGGATCGAAGCAAACTGAACTGAACCGAGGCAGACCGAACTGAGCCGGGCATTCCATTCGATTCCGCCTGGGGAGCACGGCACTTAAATAGCCGTAAAGACAACGAGCACCGCATGGGCGGGCATAAAGCGTTTTGGCCAAGAGTTGTGGAGTGTTAGGACCTTGGCCGGAATGAGGTCCTTACCAAAATGTTTTTCCAAGCGAGCGTATATAAAGTTTTAGTCTTAAAACATTGCTGTATCTTAACCCTTTTTACTTGTTTATTTCGTAGGTGAAAAGGACTTGACCTGAATGACTTGTAAATCCAGGGATTACTCTGAGTAAGTATAAAATCATTTTCATTTACTCAAGGATCAAGTCTTCCAAAACTTTATTAGAGATGTTCGCGGAAGATCAGCATTCAATTGTACCTGTTTTTGGATTCTTCTATCCTGACATCACAGCCCGAGTCCTTCGTCCTTTGGTCCCCTGTCCATATTATGTATTCGCGACAAGGAGCCATCATATTGGCCTGGCCCTCGTCCAAATTGTGAACGCCAAAGGAGCAGAGAAAATGAGGACGAGCATCAGGACGAAGGGCAGGCAGCTGGCGGTGGCGTTTTTAATGTTGCCAACAATTTTTAAGTAGCACAAAAATGACGCAAGACAGCCGACGAGACGATGGTTAAGGGTTTTTCTTCTCTTCTTTTTGCAGGACATCGACTGGCAGCGAAGGAGTTGGCGGTGGCGGAAAGGTGGAAGGCATTTCAGCTTGACAGGCCGGCAGAACAGGAGCAAGGACCGAGGACGAGGACGAGGCGACGCACGCTTAAGCATAAGTACTTCCGACTTTAAAAGGATGTCACATCCGGTTTCGCTTCTGGAGCGTGAAGCGCAGACTGGCGACGCGATAAGAGCCGCAACCAGACTCTGACTCCGGCGAACCTGCTGGGCTGGGTACCAGCAAGGGCAATCCGGAATTGGGAGAATCATGAGAACCAGGAGAACCGAGAGAACCAGGAGAGCCAACCACAACTTAAAGGTGCAACAGTTTGACAGGCTTAAGGCATTGTCCAGGCCCCTTGTCCTTGCCACCCAATGCAAAAACGGAGAAGCCGATGGCAGGAAGGACCAAGCTAGGTCGCTCAAGGAGCAAAGCTGCTTAGGGGGCACACTTGATGCCAGTGTGACCGAACCGGAATCTCACGATAAGGAGGAGCTGGCACGCATCAAAAGCGGCTTCCCAGGTGCAGCAGGATCACAAGAAAGCATAGAAGAAGAGCTAGAAAAAATGGTAGGTGGAAGTCCTTCAATTCTTTTCTAACCTCCCCAGAGACTTCGTTTTATACCCTAGCAAGGACATTATAATTTTAGTCCGAAGCTTCAAAAGCAGTACGGGAGTCATTTCCGATCCTAAAAATCATATAAATTCTTGATCAGAATTAAAAGCCAAATCCATTTAACCAAGAGATTACATCGTTAAAATTTTCAAAAGTGGTATAAAAATTTACATTTTAAATGGAGAATGCAGTTTTATTAATCTGCTAAATATAAACGTACGGGCGCTTTCCGAAATAAAATTTAGGCTTTTTTGGCTGAGTTAGAAGATTTTTAAACATTGATTTGTCGAAAAATTTTTCATATAAAAATATCAATAAATGATTATGATTGTGATCGATTTCTGATTCTGATCTTATAAATCAATTGAAAACTGCAAGGTTATATAAACTTCGGTTGCCCGAAGTAAGTTCCTTGTACTTGTTTTCAATTTCATATTAATCGTATTATTTTAAAATTGTTAATTTATTAAACTATCAAAAACTAACATAGGACAGCTTTCCGAATTGAAATTAATGCATTTTTGAGTTAGCTATGGATTTTTGAAGCTTTGAAACCCAATACAAATCAAAAATTACGTATACGTAATATTGCCCCAACCAACATAGAATATCACGTATACGTACCGTTGTTCTCCAGACCCCGGAAAATATTTTCTTTAATATGTGAAAATTTTTTATTTTCTGTGATTTATTTTGTAACTGGAATATAGTTTAATTTATAATTTAAGGAGATTATACTTTCAGTAATTAATTTATCATTTTTACACCCTTAAAGACGACTATAGTTTCAGTCAAAGGCTTTAAATTCAGTGATGGAATCATTTCCGATGCTATAAATCATACATATTCTTGATCAGTATCAACAGGAGAATTTTTTTAGCTATGTCCGGAGAAAATTACATTTTTTCCAAATTTTCACAATTTTATAAGGGGTTACATCATTAAAATGTTCAAAATTTGATACACTTTGAACTTTTTTGAAATTTTAACCTGAGTATGCAGATTAATTTATCTAACAAAAATTAACACAAAGACGTTTTCCAATTGGAAATTAATGCATTTTTGACTTAGTTATGACACACTAGAACCCATGATCCTATAACTAACTGCAAGGATATACACACTTCGGCATGCCAAAGTTAGCTTTCCATCTTGTTTAAATAATATTCTTAACAAAATAAGAGTTTTAATTGTAACAAGTTGGTTAAATATCCGTATAGATATTTACACAATTTCAGTGCATATTTTCATATTTACAAATAGAAACCTTTAAAAATAAATAAGTAAAATGTTGATGTTATTTGTAAATGTGAATGTCACTAATGACGCTGATGATGAAGTTGTAATGAGTTTTGGAACCACAAGCCCATGCCAGGACGAGACAATGGCCTGATGCTGACATTTATGCAGTTAGAAAACCACAATAACAATAACAACATGAAGAGAGGACAATATAGGGATAAAAACCGAAACACAACAATGAACGAATGCAAAATTGTTGTTAGAGGCGAGACAAACGCGACAATGACAATAGAAAATCTGCCTAACCCCTTCTGCCAAAACCACTGCACCGCACCCCCTACTCCTCTGGTGCGACAGTATAAAAAGCAACCAAGATTGATGAAGAAGCGCCGCCACATAGCAAAAAAAAAAAAATAAAATGTATCCATGAGAGGCGCAAAAAAATGTAGGAAACTCAGGAAAAGGGAGCCCCGTTTGTGTATCTGTATCTATGACAATCTGTGGCAAACAATAAAAAAGAAAGAAAACAAGAGGGAAAAGGAAAGAAGGGCAGAAATGCAGAAAGGAAAAGAAGCACGCAGTGGAAAGCCACCAAAAGGGGCAAGGGGGGTTAAAGAAGAAGGAAAACCAACCCGCAACGAATTGGGATCGGAAAAATAAACGGGGGAAAGGAGTGAGGATCCTGGCTGTGGATCCTGGTCTCTGGGTCTGGTCGGTTCTGGTCTGGGGTGGCAGCTTAAAACAATACGTTTGACAAAAGTGGAGTCAACTGCAACGGCTGCAGCCTGCACGTTGCACAATGACAGCCAGAGCCTGGGAAAAATGGAAAATCCGGCTGTGAGTGGGGGAAATCTGCGGGGTGGTGGCAGGACTATAATATGTGTAAAGCCAAAAGGATTTGTTATTCGAAACCGAGCGAAAAGATAAATAAACAAAGGCGGAGATGCAGCTAGAATTCCGCCCAAAAAAAGAAAACACAGTCACCCGCAATGTCACCCCCCTTTGGGGTGGCGCTGTAACCCCCAAGGTTCCAAGGAGCACAGCACACAACACGAAAAAAAAAAAACCAGAAAATTTTTAATAAGTGCCACAATGCAGGCGAGATGGAGATGGATACAGAGGAAGTGAGTGCAAGGAGTGGCGAGCAATAATGAATGCCGGACTTGGGGGGATTCTGGCAAGTCCTGGGAGCCAGGGCATGGCCATGTGTGTGTGTGGCTGCCATTAGAAGTCAGCCAGGGGGCAAGCAATGAAATCCAGACAGCCACGTTGACGGGTTGTCAAGCAAAACGCTTGGATTGCTTGCAAAATAGACACATGGACATGGTCCTTGGTTTCAAATACAAATTGTTGCATTCCCGATCGATCAACATTGATACCTTTTTTTTTGTTTCCCAAGGATTTTAATTATTTATAATTTATTTTTAGGATGGAAGTCCTAGGTGTCTCAGACTCACCTCTGGCCTTTAGTTCCCCTGCAGACTTCTGGCATTCGAACGAGAACATAAAACATATTTAGGCTCGCCGCATCCTGCAAAAACAAAAAAAAAAAACAAGGAGAAGAAATAAAAACTGGGACACTGCTCATCCTTTGCCGCTTCCCCTGCAATATGCAAGTTGCAGGAAAATAAACAAAAGGCAACGTCAAATGAAAATAACAATAAATGTGGAGAGTGGAAAAATATATAGGTAAGGATTTTTCCAGGGTCCTGTGCAAAATGCAAACAAATAGACGACAATTTTAATAACTCAAATTTTGCAGCAACGTTTGGCCGCGGCGGCGGCATTCGGCATTTTGCGGAATTAAAAAATGGAACTCGTCCACTGGGTTGGCCTGGACGAAAGGAGCCGCTTATCCTCTGGCTCCTAGGCGGGGTGTCAACAGTTCCGCTGGTCAATTGTTGGAGCATTGCGGCTTTTATGGGGAAACTCTTTGTGGCCGATTTTTAATTTTCATTTGCCACTTGCCATTCCCTTTTCCGTCCCCGTTTTCAATTCCCCAAAAAATGTTACCACAATGCGATCGTATTGACCATAATGGCCAAAATGACCAAATGAGTGAAATGATGGGGCATAAGTGTTTGTCAATATGCCGCAGACGCAGACTTAATGATTCGGCAAATAAGTGTAATTTGGAAATTATGCCACAATGCCTATGGAAAACCACGCACGGAGACATCCCGTTTAATAAATTATTCGAGTTAAAGAACTTCCTTGCCCTGGTGATTTAGTTATGCTTAAGTTTATATAAATAATACGGAGATATAGAAATCATGAATGTGATTAACAAATAAACTAATATGACGGCATCGATAGTCATTTACATTTGAATTTATATTTGGCTGCTGAGTTAATAAATAAATAAATAAAAATGAATATTGTTGTTTTAAGATTTTTTTATTGTTGTTTTTGTTGTTGTTCTTGTTGTTGTTCTTCTTCTTCTTCTTCTTCTTCTTGTAGATACTGTGATTGTTGTAGGCAAAAACCAAGTCTTCGATTTGGTCAAAAATCGTTACAAATCCATTTAATTCTCTACCTGAAATACCAGGCGAACAGAAACCGCAGCAAGATGAATAATTTTAGTGCAAGAGCTTTCGATTAACTGCTGAAATGCAACAATGTGCAGCTTTGACTATCGGATTCTGGCATGCAGCTTTCCAGAGCTTTGACTAAAACAGCTGACATGGAGCCATGTACAGCAGTGACAGTCAGCTGACATGGAGCCATGTGCAGCAGTGACAATCAGCTGACATGGAGGCATCTTGAGCAGCAACGATCGGCTGATGACAGCAGCACCAAAAATAATCGTCATCAAAATAAATCGACTTACAACTTATTGTAGTATGACCAACTCATTTCTCACAACTTAATATCGAGTGTGACCGCTTTGACCTTGCGCAGGTAACCTGCAGCCATTTGCTGCAACGACGATCGGCTGGCATGTAACATGCGCAGCTTTGACATCCTACGTTTTGGGTTATGCTGAATGCACTGAGGAGCAGCCACAGGATCAGGATGAGCTGGGTCATGTCCAGGGCGTGCTGGCCACAGCCCGGCCAGCGGCAGTGCAGACCACTTTACTTCTGCTGCCCATTGATGAGCTAACCAACACCCCCTCGCTGGCCACTAGCGCGAACAGCGCCAAGACCCGCATTCTGCTGACTCTGGCATCTCGGCCTCCTCGCAGAGCAACAACAACCTCCAGGACAAGCAGCTGCAGCAGCACTCGCTCAAGCTGACCGTGGTCTCCCGCTAGGAGCAGCATTACATTGGACCAACAGCTACAACGTGACACCCGAGCCGCCGCAGCAGAAGCTCATCACCAGGACCATTTCCGTGCCGCAGCTGACCGGCCTGCCCTATCAAGGGCGTGATGCAGCGGTTTATGGCCTCCCATGGCAAGCTGGTGACACCCAATAGTCCCCTGCCGCACGTCTCGCCATTGGGCAACATCACCAGCTCTAGGAGCAATCTGGAGCACGGAAACTCGCCAACGGACATTACCACGGTCACCCTATTACCGGCAGCCATCGAGCGGAACCCAGAGGGCGGTCCGTTGCGTCGAGCAGAAGATCCAACAGGAGCTGCAGGACCTCAAGCCCTGGAGCGCTTGCGCAAGATTAACAGGCAGAACACACTGAAGGTTTCGCTGGAAAAGCTGTGAGTACACATCAAGGCTTTCAAGAATCCCTCTTATCATACGTTTTTTCGTTTCCAGCCAGCTCAGCATAGGCGAGGCCGATGCGGACGAGGTTGACGATGAGGAATCTGAGGTGGAGCACTGCTATGGCCCCGAAAAACTGTGCAATGCCAAGTCCACCTAGGAGCTGGATAGTAATGGGCAAGTGTTAGATAACCTACTTAAAGGAGCTCGATTCTCATTGAATTTTCATTCTTATATCAACAGCAACGAACCGGAGATCGTACACAAGCC